TGATTGTTCTTAGATTCAGCTTAAACCTAAATAACACGCACTTTCGGACAATCTTCAGAGGTTCTTGCAGCTGAATTCTCACGGACCGCAGGTCAGAAGGCGTACGCGACGGACAGGATATAATTGTGTACTGATTTATTACCGCAGTAGAAACGGTATGAGAGTGATATGTGCTGCTGCTACTCGTGAACGTTCTGTCCGGCCTGGGCTATTTGGCTTCTGTAACATAGCCATTCATATTGTCATACACACAAAAAGGTGTCTCTATTTTCCTAGGATCGTTAACAGCATGGATTCAAAATTGGTTTAATCTTTGATTATTCTTGTTTGTGATTGAACCGGATTATGTCAGGGATTGTGCGACTATTTCGCATGACAGAGTCAGCACGTATCCGTGAAAGTATCAGGCTCGATCCTTGATGAGATCCCGTCCAATCCTTGGTCTTTGAGTTAGTGGGCCCTGCCCTACAGTCGTGAGAATCATGGATTTGGGACTCAAACCACGATGTTATTCCGCATAATCCAGAAAAAAGTGGTAGAAAATGTGAAATAGTGCAGGGACTCTCATTCAGACATCTACTTGTTTGATCTTCGCTGCCCATGGATATCATTGGGGACTTAAAGATTTTCGGAAATTCTCGAAGAGGTGTGGGTTCTCTGGTTTCTATAGACACCGTGATTTCTCACTTTGTAGGGTGACTAATCCAAAAAGTCCTGTTGAAAATATTTGAAGCTGTCTCTCTCAGCATCATGTCCTGGGTAAACCCAGCTACAGCTTAGTACAGTGAAGTCGTAGACTGTCTTGTTACTCTGCCGCGCAGCTGACATGTGTTGAGTTGTAAGATTTCCAAAAGCACATTCTGTAAACAGGGACACATCTGCTCGCAGGACTTCCTAAATTTACGATAGGTTCAAGTCTTGACATCATCTCTTGCCTGAACATCGGATGATGGTTGACTCGTCCTGATTGCACGGATGGGGGTGCAAGTGTGTCCGCGCATGCCATCGTGACAAAATCATGGATTACGATCCATGATGCAATCGTGAGTTAAACCCGAAATCCACACGCTTGGATTATAATCCACAAGTTTTTTGTGGATTTCCGTTTCGAACACAATCTTGGATTGTGATCCTAACCGCGTTATGGATAGTGCTCAATGTTGTTCTGGCTTACAATACATCTTCCTGCTATGATTTCCAATCCCGATTATCGTCATGTATTACAATCTCCAATCTCCCGGCCAACCCTCGTCAGCTCATGTAAAAGCAGCTCCAATCGCATCCAGTTTTATTCCCATTCTCTTCTTGGATGAACCAGAATCAAGCGTCCGCTTGAACATCAACGCTTGCAAGTGTTGTTATTTCGCCTTTCTGACAATGATAAAACAACCTTATGTCCTGCTCGAAGCCCTTCATGCTCCGGCTTCGTCCACAGCGGAATCAGGGATTACATGCGCTTTTGGGGAGGATCAAGCAGGACAATGCACGGTCGAAAGCATGAAATCTACCCTTATTTCGGCGTGGATAATGCTCAATAGCGCGCCGGTCTTTTGCCCAATCAAGTCCGCAACATGCCTGTCTAACCCGATGCACAATGGAATCATGGATTAAGCGGAAAAAAATATCTGGTCTGGGCCCTGAAATCCACGATAGGATCATGGCGGGATTTTGTAATCCATGACTCTCGCGACCGCACGGTACAGTTAATATCGCTTGATAAAGCAGGGAGCCAAACTATGATATGGTTCGGTCCAATCCACGAGATTCAGCATGTCCATGATCATCTTTGGTGTAATCCCCGTTGTGATTCTGGAATATCCGTGATCAGACTGAGCTTAATCATTCAGTCTTCATGCACGAAGCCGTACAAAACATCTCCTCAGAGTGCCAGAGAGCGGTGGGGAAGCGCACAGCAGTGTTGATATTAGACTAAAAATCCCAAGAGCAAGATTACCAGAACATATTCATATTATTTGTATTTCACTGGAGCTACAGTAGCAATAATCAGGATTCCATAACCTAAAAGGTCAACACAATTGCAAACTGATACAAGAAATCTCATGCATACCTGGCCTTAACCTTTGCCGCTGATGGATAGAAGTAGGCACTTGGTGTTTTCCGTATTTTTGAAAGAGATGGATCTTCTAGGTTTTATCTACAGTTTTCTGCACAGTTTTCTGCACAGCCATAACATAGCCATTGACAAAACCATGACAGTCAATGAGGAGCAATTATGGTGCTTACATGACACATACATGACATCAGGTATGTTGATCATGCCTATATCTATATCAGGGGGGGGGGGGCAGAAAAGTCCTCCCAAAAAGTCTCAGCTAACGATCAGGTGCGGGCTGGAAACTACCCAGCAGGACCAAATATCAGTAAATGTGTTATAATACATATTTATCAAGGGTTATGGACGACGAAATCGTGAATTGCAAGGCTGAGAAGATCTGGATTAAGCGGGACGTTATTGTGGCTTATACGAAATCATGTTTTGGTTTATGCGAACTGGTTCCATGGTTTGGGTGGCAGGAATCCATAATACGATCTCGGATTAATCCACAATCTCAAATCATGGATTGAACGGAATTTTGTAAGGCATGATGCTCACGACCGTAGGGCATACGTACTTTTATACACACGAACATGTCCAAATTCCTGGCTGTATCTTAGTTGCAGGCCTGATGATGTCACCTGAGTGACTCTGAGCCGGTGAATCCGGGAGGACTATCTTGCGCCATGTCATAGCAGGGATCCTTTCTGGGGTCAATACACAAAAACAGTTGTGTATAGCAAGCACACAACGTTTCAAGGCATGTACATGTTTATTTGCGCAATTTTCTGAGGTGATTCGCCCCGACCTCCTTTTTTGGCGACAATGCTTGTTTTTATTTGGGATCGTAATTCATGACATCCCTACGAAGTGAAAAATCATGGACAAGGCACAATTTCTCTTCGGCAAGTGCGTAGTCCGTGTCAAAATCTGAAATACCATCCTTGCAGAAGATCCAGACAGAATCGTGGATTACAACCCAATTGAATGTTGTGAATTACAATCCATGTCAGTATCATGGATTAGACAAGGATTACACATGGATTATGGAAGTTAGCACATGTCTACAATACACGCTAAAAACCACAACGGAAACATGGATCATATTCCTTGACAGCATCCTAGATTACGGGCTGGAAAAAAACCTCGCAGATTATGATATCATGCATGGACATGATTAGCATACATGACATCATAACGCATGAAGTATACATAACCAACACATCACATCATATGACATCATGACGTACATATTTGGTTTAGTCATATAAACCAGTGCCCCCCCACCACTTAAAAAGATTTCGGAGATCTTCTAAGTCACCACGCGAAATTAAAGTCAGATATGATAGATTATACTCCTCTTTGAGTGAGCTCATGTTAACATGCTGAGCTATTGACCTAAGATACTGCTACCATGGCCATTAGGACACTCATAATACACTTCATTCTTCTCGCCTCTTGGCCCCCAGTTTGTAGCAATTTACGTCAATTTCAAGAATTTTGCATGATAGAACCATTAATCAAGCCCATGGGAATCATGGATTATGCCTGATAAAATCAAGCAATGGATGCGTGAAAGCATACATGACAAAAGATCAAGGATCAATCCCACTTTTTTTATCCACGTTTAGTTTTGACAGAGGGCATAGCTTTGCTGTGGATGTGCAGAAAAGTGTTCATATGAATTAGTGGACCTCCACTTTCTTCAAATTTCTGGAAATCCTAAGTCTCCATGCCTCCATATTCAGCAGCAGCAAAGATCAAGGTCAAGTATGGATGAGATTGCCTGTACATCACTGAGTTTGTTCAACCATCCTGAAATATGGGACCATAGTTATTGCTACTGTAGCTCTATTACGATACTCATAACTCAATATTTTTACCTGTTGATCTCTCGCCTTTTCGCCCAGTGGTATCGCATTTTCTTGCCATTTTTCCAGGGCAAGGCTGCATCACACTGTGGATTATGCTGAACCATGTCGTGGTTTGGGTCCTGAAACCACGATACGATCAACGGTTAAGCGGGATTTTGTAGTCCATGATTTCTGCGACTGTAGGAACACTGTTCTTGGGTATAATCTATAATAGTGTCAAGATTGTGCACGTCCTCAATTGCAACCTCATCTGGGATTTCTGCAATAATCCCAGATGCATACATGATCTTGCTGTGGATCACGCACGTGGCTAACAACACTTGAGTTTAATTCGTGATTTCCATTTTTGTAGGGCCGTCTTGGAGGATTAAACCGAGTTCTGTCCAGGAATGACATGCATCACTTACACAAAATATTGTCGATTTGCCATGAAATACATCATTTTGATCTCTGTGAAAAAAACCGACCTGTCTCACATCAACAGGGCTCCACAGTGAGTAGATGTGCCATTTCCAGACAAGACCCAGCCAGGGTGCTCCTAACGATTTTAATGGTGACTTCTACTCTAATTCACACATCTTCCACGAGAATACAGAGGAGATACCGGTATGCAAAGCATACGAGCCTAACATCCATATCATATCCTGGAAGTCTCTTGACAGTTCAAGTAGTATGGCGATTCCAGGCAGGCTCCAGGGAGTTGGCCGTATGGAATCAAGTTGTGGAAATACCATATCGAAATTTGTATGGAACTTAGCACTCTAACCCATACCATCTTGATAGATTGACTGGTTTTCCGTTGCCCACACTCAGAAGTACATGACTATCCTTGGCATCGTACGCCAACAGCACTTCACACAAGGCAAGTAGCTATAGGGAGACACGACAGCATTTGGTACTTTAATCATGGTCATTGTGACGGTTGTTCAACATCGTTCATTGCCTGGCTAGCTCAATCGGTAGAGCGTGAGACTCTTAATCTCAAGGTTGTGGGTTCGACCCCCACGTTGGGCTTCTGCCTTTTTCTTTTGGGCCTATCCACGAGATTCGGTTCCCACGACTGCCTACACCTAACTGGACCTCCGCCTTCCTCCTTTCTTTAGCGGATTTACATATTTGTCCCATTTATGCCGCTTCTCTTGGTACCCTGCGCCAGGTCCTCGATGTCCCTCCAAGAAGCACTCTTCGCAGTATAGGTCGTCGTCGCAGCCATGGCATCTAATGGCGGCGTCTTCGATGCAGACGGCTGACCGAAGATGTCAACAAGGATAGAAAGCAACCAAAGTAAGATACTTACAACACCACGTTGCTATTTCGTCTTCCGGGTCAGCGAAAGGTAGTGATGGAGGCGGACCAAGGGCGTTTCCAATCTTCGCAGTAGCTGGAGGTGACACGTATGATGGCGCGTTCTTTTTCAGTCTCACTAACCTCTGGGAGAGATCCGAATCCTCCTCTTCGTCTTGCGTGTTCAGTACGACGGCGTCTTTAGTCTGCGATAACAGGTTCGCGACATGTGGATCGTCATCTTCCTTCAGCGAGGATCGGACGGTTTGTCCAGGTTCCCACCGAGCGTTGTCTTTGCCGAAGCCCGACTTGTGTATTGCGCCACCCCTCGACTGGTTCATATCCTCAGCCATCGCCAATATCTCATCCACCTCCTCTTCTTCCAGCGCAAAGTCCTCTTCCTTCAAGAAGTCAAGGTTTGGAGGAGGAAGGGCCTCCACCTTCTCAAGCGGGGCATTGGTCTTGTGGGACATAGGCTTCCTTCCCTTAAGCTTCTCAAACCTCTTCAACAGTTCATCGTCTTTTCTATCCATTGTCGACGTTGTATGTGTGTCGTGTCATTGTGCATCTCGGTCCGAGGCGGGGGACGTCTCACGAACAGCAACACCGCTGAAACCGCCAAACATCTCGCGGCAACCCTTGGTAATAAAACCAATCGATCCAATGAAGTTCACATTGTCATTAGCATTCCTTGCTCTCTCAACCCCTCTATGTCATGCTTGGGGCTCAGAAGGTGCGAATATTGGCCGTCCTTCTTCGTGGATGTACTAACACGGCATTCGCAAAGCTCACACAACAGTCGGCCTGATCGCCCAATCCTTCCTCCTCCCTCGAACTCAAACGTTCATTCTCTCCCTTCTTGACTCCAGATACGACGGATCCATTGGTGCTGCTGCACCATGGGCGGACGAGTACCGTAATACAGCCGAGGGAAGATATTCTGGTGCTTACCACTACATCGATACTCTCGATGATCCACCCAACACATGCGGAGTGGACTTGGATAGAGATTGCCCCTCGAGTCATGGTTGCATCGTGAGCGCAATCGCAAACTACACCCAACGGCTCGGTGACGAGAGTCTGGGCAAAGACGAGCAAAATAAGGCCCTCAAGTTCCTCGTGCACTTCCTCGGTGATATCACACAACCACTCCATGCCTCGGGCCATGCCCGAGGTGGGAATGAAGTCAAGGTCACCTTCGCGGGAAAGCACCGTAGCCTTCACGGTATCTGGGACGACGATATTCCTCAATATCTTCTCCGCTCAAAGTACAGTGACTCGATAACGTTCTGGACACAATCGCTGGTGGACCGGATTAAAGCAAACACTCTATTGACGCCAAAGGAGGAGTGGACGACTTGTGTCGACCCGGATCAAGCTGTCCGATGTGCTACTGAATGGGCAACGGACTCCAACAAATATGACTGCTCGTACGTGTATAGCGCGCTGAACGACACCTCGACGGATTTGTCTGGGGAGTACTTCAGAAATTCCGTGGATATTGTGGAGCTACAGGTCGCAAAAGGTGGTTTGAGGTTGGCGGCTTGGTTGAACAGTGTTGTTACCGGAGAGCATGGACTTTCAGAGGACCATGGAGACAGATTCGTTCTGCAGCACCCCGAGTTATGACTGTCGGAGTGAGGGAAGCAGACATTGTTGTACTTTTAGCACTTCATACCAGTATACCGGTACCCTCAGAAAGCGATCCACGGGAAAAGACAGCCATAACGTGATCGAAAGGAAATCCATTAAACTATTGTATTGAGAAAACAAAACGCCCGATATGCTTCCAAGCCCAGTCCAAACAGCCAAACCAATGGTATAACGTCCTTCCTGTCTACCTGCAACTTATTAATCAAACCAGGTCCTAAGCGTTTCCAAGTCCCAGCAAAACAATCAAATAAACGTTCAAACCCGAAATGATGCCCCAAATGGCCCATGAAACAATTGTGAGTGTCCATCCGTTGGACATGTCGATGTACTCAATCTCGATCTCAGTCCCGGGGGAGCAGTTGTCGCTGATGGTGGTGACGGTGCCGGTGCGTCTGTGGGAGGGTCCGGTGCCTGGGCTGAGAACATCGATGCTCATGGTGGATTCGTCGTTGTCCTTTACTGCTGCACCGACTTCAGGGCGTTTACTTGTGTCGACAACCACATCGCCGGAATTAGCCCGAGCCGGGACAGGTCTCGCCAGAACCGGAACCCGCATATACTTCTTCTGACTCGTAAACCAAATCAACGGGAACGAGACAAACGGCAACAACACCGACAACACCACCTGCGACGCATTGAGCAACTCTCCCAATCCCTTCCTTCCCACGGCAGCGGCGATAACGACGACAGGTGTGATCGCAATTGCACGCGTGATGAGACGTCTCAACCACGGTATAATCTTCCATCGCAAGAATCCTTCGGATACCATTTGACCTGCCATCGTAGCGACTACTCCTGCGCTCTGTCCACTGCACAACAATGCTAATGCGAAGAGAGTACCTGCTGCTGGTGCTAACTGCTCACTGAGCAACTGGTGAATCGAGAAAAGATCCGCGTCCTTAGCTTGCGGCGTTTCGGAAAGGGTCGCACCTGCGACGATAAGGATGGCGCTGTTGACGAACAAAGCAAAGGTGAAGAGCGACACGCCGATCTCCACGACCGAGATCAGGAGGGTGTGGTTGATGGCGTCATATGTCGGCTTGTACTGTGGTAAATCATTCGCCAACTGCTCTGCCGTCGGCGCTGGCTCCCTACTCAGTATCCACTTCCTCCAAAGCTTCCAGATAATCCTGGGAAACGGGAGGTACTTCGGTTTCGGACCGATATCCTCTTCGCTGATATGCCTCCTGATCTCTTCCGGCATTTCATAGTTTCCCATCCTTACGTCGTAGTCTCTCAACCGACTCTGCACCAGTCCACTCCCGAGGAACAAGCTATGCGGCATGACCGTAGCGCCCAAGATACCAATCGATGCGTACAGACCATCCTTGAACACCGTACCGGAAGGGAGGTACCCTTTGAGGACTTCTCGAGGGTTGACTGCGGGGATCTTGACAAGCTCGATGATGAAACAAACCACGACTGCCAGAACGAGAAGACCGACGAACGCCTCGAATGCTCGCACACCCTTCATAGTGCCCTCTGGTTGGTAGAAGAAGAGCACCACGAGGACGTCGCAGACAGTTAGCAGCGTACCCACAATCAACGGAATCTTCAACAGAATATTAAGCGCAATGGCAGTACCCACAACCTCCGCCAAATCCGTCGCAATAATCGCCGCTTCACTCAAAACATACAACCCCCAACAAACCCACACCGGAAAATACGCCCGACAACACCTCGCCAAATCCATCCCCGTCACACTTCCCAATTTTGCCGCGAGCGACTGCAAAACAACAGCGAAAACGTTGGAAAGCATGATGACGAAGAGGAGTTTGAATCGGAATTCGGCACCGGCTGCGACATCGGTGGAGTAGTTTCCGGGATCCATGTATGCGACGGAGAGCATCACACCCGGACCAACCGCACGCATGAACCTCCCCCCATAATCCTTGAGTTTCGATTTATTCCCCATCATTGGCGCCGCACTTTCCGCAATCGACGTCCTCGGTGACAGAATGTCGGGGTTCACGTTCACATTCTCAGCACCAGCTTCAGACGTAAACGTAGCCCAACGCTCCCGCTCCCGCGGTGCAGTATGATTATTCGCTTTATCTGGATCCATGTTTCGTGCATCTGTACTCCCCCTAGGCCGAGGTCCTCCGTCGTCGTTGAGGGAGGCGATGGAGATTGTGTCCGAGGGGAGGTGAGGAGGACCTTGGAAGTAGTCGAGCCGACCTTCGGACGTTTCCCGTGATGGGCTGTGAGACCAACAATTAGCATTGCACAGGCGACTCGAGGAGCGGTTGGTGTCACCAATTCATGATATAAATACAGGCTCGATGATGTCAAACACGAACTCGAATTGAATTAGACGTAGAGAAAGACAGTGACGCTGCTAATAGTCGTACACAATGAACCGTACCCCTCTCTCAACTGCAATTGCAAACGTCTGAATTGTCGAGGAGTGTTCTTCGATGTGGGGCTTAAGTCATAGATGAATGAATGCTTGGCTGCGGCTGCGGCTGAGAGCAGAGGACAGCACGTACAAACACCCGGCGCCGCCCGAGTGGGGTTCCGGCGATATCCGGCGGACCGATGGGGTGTGCTGCCTGATTTGATCTGAGTAGAGACGAGATGAGTCGTACTTGTTTTTGAATCTTCCTTACGTTTTACGTGTCCGGGCCTGCACGGACCGTACGGCGATACCGCGGTTCTTCTATCGCATATCGTATGCTTTTTATAATGCCCAACTCCATTACCGTATACTCCCTCACTGCAACACAGCCTTCTTCGTAGCCTCCACAATCTTCATCACCCCATCACTCCCCTCCTTCATAACCTTCTCGACCTCAACCTCCACCTCCTTCTCCTTATTCGCATCCTTCGGCAACTGCGCACTCTTAAGCAACTTCAACGCATCTTGACGTGCGCGTTTCAGGACTGTTTTTGAGGATTCTCCGATTTTGGAGATTTCTGCTGCCATTTTGTTTCGTGCTTCCCGGGTTGGTTGTGGGAGGGGGATGATGAGGCCGAGGGGGTTGCCGGAGGCGGGTTAAGGGTTGAGGCTGTGTGGTGATCGTTGGATTGCAGTCTGGACGGGTTTCACGTGCTGTAGGTCATGATAATTAGTTTTGACAAACTGAAGAAATCATCCAAAGAACCCACCTCTTCCTCAAACACACTAACCAACATTGTCTCTCCATCCTTCAAACTTGCCATCGCAACATCTTTCAACTGCAACGCACATTCTGGCAGCTCGATCTTCAGGTTATCCAACAACGCCGGGTTCTGTCTTCCTTGCCTCAGCTTTGCGGCTTCCTTTTGATAGCCAGTTAATGGCTCTGTCCAGGTCGTCCTGGAACGGCTCGATGGTGAATTTGGGTAGATCTATGCCATCGTCAAGCTCGTCCTCCTTTTTTGATTTGCTGGCCTTGCTTTTCTTGAAGAGTACAGGACTTGAGGTGAATGACCGTGCGGTCTGGCATGGTGCTGTCCGAGGGAGGATGGTAGATGCTTGTCTGTGGGTGACGTTGTCAGTCTGATTTCTTGTTCAGTCATGGAGATTACCTACCGAAGAGCAGGGCGCGCTGCCACTCTTGATGAGTGAAGACAAAGACATATCAACGATCGTGATGCTCCCATTGTAGATTCTTCACTTTGAATTCACCGAGGCAGCGTAATGTTAAGGTTCCGCTGGGCACTCAGAGACTTGATTTATGAAAGATTTAAACCTGTAGGCTCCCATGAAGCTTATAGATGGTATCCACTAAGTTCCTCCGCGGCCGGGAAGTTTGAGGGCCGTAGTAGCATGAGAACCGAGCTCGCAAAAGCCCCACGGTCATACCTAATCCCCGAACCCTTGGTACATTCACGAAAAATCTACGCATCCCGACTCCTCAAATCCCTTACCGTACTACTCACTCTCCTCCTCCAACTCCCCAACAAACTCTCCTCCTCATCCCCATCCTCCACTTCATCATCACTATCCTCATCCTCCTCCCTCGCCCACCTAACCCCCCTCACCAAAATCCACAGTCCACTCAAAACCCACACGCCCACGAAAATCCATTGAGACCAAAACCCGACTTGTCCGAAAAAAGGGTAATTGAGCCCAACGCGGTCAACGAAGGAGGACATTACTGTTGGTGTGCAGATATTTGTTGGGGCTGATGCGTCACAGGGGACGATAAGGTCTGGGTAGTCGGTACAGTCGCGGATGAAGCCATTGCCGAGGGTATGGTTGCAGAATTTTTGGTGGCCGAAGTGGGCGTATTGGGGTGCGACGACGGTGACGAGGGAGTAGTTGATGGCGAGGATAGTGAGAGTCAGCAGGGAGGCGAGGAGAAGGAGGCCTTGTGGTTGTGTTGATCCTGGGCGGACGCGGAAAATGTTTACCCTGTACGAGAAGTGTAAGCCAAGAAAGTCCAAGGACGCCTCTTGCACCAGTTTCGCGTACCATAACACGCGAATGCCGATGTACAAAATGCCCAGCATTGTCGCCATGAAGAATAACAGGACGAGCAACGTCGTGATGATGTAATCCAAGGGGAATATCCGCGAGGACATAACGAGACCCCGGTCGACAAGATTGAACAGCTTCGGCGTCCTGTCGAGGATGAATCCACAGCGTCGGCCGCAAACACTACCTGTAAGCTTCTCGATCCTATGAATCGAGTTAGCTCAACATCTCACCGGAGATGGAGAAATTCGTCTCACCCTGAGATTATCATCGACGCAACCGTCACAACACTACCAGCACCAACCACCAACCCAAGCACCACCCTCCCCACCCTCCCCATCTTCCCAAACACCCTTCTGACCCACCTCAACGGCCCACTCTTCCTCCCCGCCTCTTCCGCCAACCTAACATGCCTCACCAACGTCCGTTCCTCCCTCTGCAACGCCTCCAAGGCTCTCCGATCCTTCGAGTTCATCTGCGCATGGCTTCCGGCGTACTTGACCTCGATCGCACGCTGTCGCTCCCGGTTATGAGCGAGAGCTTGATCAGCGCGGGAGGTGGTTGGGACTGGTGACAAGGAGGGTGAGATGAGGGAGAGAGGGAGGAGAGCGAGGCCTGGTGCGGTATAGGATATGAAAAGGGCGGAGCCTATAGTGAGGAGGATGCCGATTGTGAATGCGAGAGCTTTTTCGCTGTCTGTCAGGCGTCATTAGCCTTTTACGCACGAAGAGCGTAAGAAACCCGACATACGGTTCCCGGCGAGCAATTTCTTGAAGTAATCCAGATCAAGATGCGCCTTATCCGCCTTGGCGATCGGTACGAAGAACCCAATCAAGAACAGGACGACAGCGGTGAAGAGAAAGAACACCGAGTACTTTAACGAATTCTTCACTCTCTCACCCGTAGTTGAGTCCGCATCCCACTCCTCATAGAAGAAGTATGTGAACGGAATGAACAACAGTACGAATCCCACATCAAGGGAGTACAAGCTGTAATACAGCACCTTCAACCCAAACAGAATCTGCCCAATCTTCTCATCCGTCGCCCACGCCTTCTTCAACCCAGTCGCATTATCCGTCGTATTCGATACCAATGCAACATCGACAGGAAACAGCAGTACGGTCGCCAACACCGATGACAGCGCGATGATGGTCACGAGCGTGCACAACGCATCCCGATCTCTCGGCGCCTGGTAGTACTTGACAATCCCGGTCGCAAACACGACGATGCCAACGAGAGCAACAGCAGAGGTCGTCCCCGTCACCGCCGTAACGAAATGGTCCATGGCGGTTGTCTTCGTCGTCGTCGTCGATGGGAACGGCCCTAACCCAAATTGATAGGAAGACAAAAGGCCGAAGCCCGACGTGGGGGTCGAACCCACAACCTTGAGATTAAGAGTCTCACGCTCTACCGATTGAGCTAGCCAGGCTGGTTGATGAGGATTCATCAATGTTGGTTACACGTTCCTTTGCTGCGGTGATCCTTATGAGGATAGGGGATATAAGTGAGCAACAAGCAAATTATATTTCGAAAACCCCCTGATCCAGAAGCCAACCAACCTCATCTATCCAACTCCATAACTCTAATCCAATACTCATACAATCTTCCATGCACTGCCTCTGCTCTCATCTAGTTATGCCTCTTGATCGACAACCTCTTCTTCAACCCACTAACAGCCCCTCTCAAACTCTTACTCCTCGACACCCCCTCCGCCTCCTCCTCCCTAATATCCTCCTCCACAAAATGCACATCACCCTTCCCATCCCTCCTCCGTACCTTCTCCTCCGTCGCCTCGCCATCATCACGATACTGACTCGCGAAGGCTCCGTCCCAGTTTCCTTGCCCGCGGCGTTCGGTGTCGCCGGAGTCGTACGTGACGCCGGGATATTGACCCAGACCTTCATCTTGTTCAATGTCCTGCTCGGTGTAGGTCATGCCGCCGACGCCGGGGGGGATGGCGGCGGTGCCATCGAGGGGGACGTGGTTTTGGATTGCCTCCTCGATGTTTCGTTGTGGGGTTGCTTCGAGGGCAAGTTGGTTACCAAGTGCTGTAGCCTCCAATACCTCGGGCTTCATCGCTGCGTCGTAGGGTCCGCTGTGGTGTAATGGCCTTCCGCCCTTCTTGACGACCCCGAAAAGTGACGAGTCGAGCATATCGATTTGATCGGATGGGTTGCGAGTGTGACGCTGCTGGGAGCGAACTGCCTTTTCGAATTTCTCGACTGTCTCTAGAGGACGTTCTGAGAATCTGCGATGATAGGATGGAGCGTTTGAGCCGAGCTGTGTATGCTATCTATTAGAGACTGATCCACTTCAACGAAAGAGCACACTCACATCGGCCGCGTCAACGCTGACACCAACATCACCACCCTTGTTCTTCTCGTCAAGTCCGTATGCGTTCATTTTGTTCGTTTGTTGTACAACTCATCTCTCGTTACTCGGGCATAAATGCTCTTATAAAGGAGGTGACGGTTCTCTGCGCGCGCTGATGTCACTCGGCTCCGGAGAACAGACAGAAGCGCCAAGCCGTCTCTGCTAACGTGCTCTAACGTGTGGAGTGCGAAATACATCGTCCATTCTTGGCAATCGTCCTTGCTAAAAATACCAGCCCTTTCTCAAATAGTCCTATCTTATTATCTGCAATCTCCTAGTAGTAATCGCGCACCTCCGAATCGAGTCCACCCAATCCAGCCTCGTTCATGCTCATCGCCAACATCCCGTCCAAAGCCTTCTTGACACTGTCCATGACTGTTACCAAACCCTGCCTGAGCGTCTCAAGGTCGGCTTCTTTGTTGCGGATCCAGTTGACGGAGACGGAAACACTATAAGTCATCGTTAGCTTCTATGATGTTAGCCATTCCCCGTCAAATGCCTACCGTCTCTTGACGCGAAGGTTCTCCTCCACAAGACGAGATCGAGACCAAGCTTGCATATCCTGACAAAGTGCCGTATATTCATTGAACAAGTTCGCTTCCTCCTTCGAGATGGTCATCATGGCTTCCTCGTATTGGGCCGTCATCCCTGTAGAACGTCAGGTTAGCATTGCTGAGGACAACACCGCTATCGATATCTACCGTCTAAATCGAAAGCTTCCAACGGCTGTAGCAAATTCTGCCTGGCCTTCGCTTTCAGTTCCATTTTTGCCTTCAACTTCTGGTCCTCCAAGTTGGCGGCGGATTTCGTCGGGGAACCTGGGACGGAGCGGATTTCGGAAGCTTTGCGCTTTGGACTTTCATTCGCGGTCAAGTTCAAAGGCTCAGGACTGTCAAACTCATTAGCATGTACTGGAGCAGCAGCCGCGTAATCACTTTGACCTTTTAGCAGGCGAAGCAGGAAGATCCCGCGGTTTCTTGACCGGAATGGGAGGGGGAGACGTAAGCCCCATCTCAGAATCGCTCTCTAAAGCGGTATAACTATCCTCCGAACTATGACCGAGCCCATCACTCTTTACATCTTGCATAATTGTGACGCTCGTGTTAACCGCACTGCTCGTAACGTCCTTCAGAGCCGTGGGAGAAAGTGCATTCATCCCGTTTGCGTGAGCGGCGGAGGGAGGGGAAGAGACGGAGTGAGTGGAGCCGGTAGGAATACCAAATTTGCGAGCGTTGCCGGTTGATTTGAGGGTGATGTTAAGGGGGGCGATTGTGGACATTGTTGATAAAGGGGTTGTAGTAAGCGTGGAAAAGCGGAGGAAAGTAGGGTGTATGCTGGATAAATGACCTCAGAATGCAAAGCAGAATAGCAGAAAAGCTTCTCAAAATAACCCCAAGTTGTCGACTCAAACTTGTCGTCGGTTGGTATTACGGTGTTGGTGCTGGACAACAGCGAACGGCACTGAATGCACCACACTGTGCCGCGCCGCACTTACAGCTATGTGCAAAATTCTTGACACAATGCACTGCAGGTGCGCGCAATCTTGCCTACCCTCCCGTAAAAAGACCTCCAAACAACTCCATTAAAGGCCTAGGAAGGCCAGGATAAGCCGAAAATGCATGGGAAGATCATTGCCGACCCCGTCTGAGATATAGTTATCTACCATTACATCAGGGGAGCCCATCCCATCACACTCAGTGAAATCGCAAATACTTCAGTCCGCACCATTTACCGAATTGTCAAGAGGTATGAAGAGCAGGATACCAGTGAGCGTGCCGGTCATCATACTTGTGGACGCAAGCCTCAAATCGATGAATATCCAGGGCTGGCGAGTAAGAATGAGGGATTCACTGAATGGCATGCAGTATATTCAGTACTTGTACAACCAAACCCTACTCTCTACCAAGAAGACTGTGCCGATTACATGAACGAAGCCTTCGCTTGCGATCTCAACCGTTTTCAGATCATGCGCTACCTCCACAAGATTGGATATACCCGTAAGGTGTTGACCGTCATGGCAGCGCAGCGTAATGGAATGCTACGGGTAAACCACACAATCCAAATGGCCTACTACACGCAGGATTGGCTTGTTTTCCTCGATGAATCAGCCGTCGATGAGCGCAGGGCTCACCGCAAATTTGGCTATGCTCCCGCTGGAACCGTGCCATTGAAGACCGCACTCTCACTCACTCCAAGCGCTGGAGTGTATTGCCAGCACTCACATCGACAGGTCTCCGTGCGTTGTGGATCTTTCAGGGGTCTTTCAATGCTGACCGCTTTGTCAAATTCGTCGAAGAGAAACTCCTACCAATCTAGGGCCTTACCCTGGTCCCAACAGCGTTGTTGTACTCGACAACTGTCTTATTCATCACGATCCAAGGGTTGCTGAACTGCTAGTCGAAAGAGCCGGCTGTCGAATCCATTTCCTACTACCTTACTCCCCAGACCTAAATCCAATTGAGCTCTGTTTCAGCATGATGAAAAGCTGGATGAAGAAGAACAACGAGCATGATTTCGCTAAGTCAGATCCTGAAGCCTTCATACGCTGCTCAATCGATTATATCAACTCTCAAAGCGACAAAATCCTCAACATGTTCACAAACTGCAGTTATGCAATAACCCAGGAACAGCTTACAGCTTATATCAACAGCAGTCGTGAAACGGCCTTGATTGCAGCTGCTGAGTTGCAGGGACCTCAACCTGTCTTTGCGGATGATGATGAATAGTCGAAGTAAGCAATATATGTATTTTCTGACGGCTTGCAATTCCCACGGACACATCCCCTCATAAAATGGCTGTATGGGTGCCCAAATGCAGGCACTAAGTCGGGGTTCAGTCATGCAGCTAACCCCTTCGGTAGGCTATGTGCATAAATCTTGACACTATATAAACCTTTGTATTTGAGTACGGAGACTGAGTAAGCTTAATGCTCAACAACCAGGAACTAGAATGAAGCGAAAACTTTTTACAATAAAGACCTATATACAATGAAGCATCTATCAAACTTTCAGTCGTCCACGGCCTCAAAAACTGGCGGTTCAAGCGTCCGCTTCCAAGCATGCATATTTCACTGAACAGTCTTCCATCTAGGCCAGAATTCTTGCATTGTGATCAGCCATCCCATCTTGATCACTCCAATATCCTTCCTGGGCACCGCTTGAAGTCCTCGGGGCGTAGGCCATTGTCAATTACGCCCTGCCTGGCAATAATTGATATTGAAGTTGGTGTAGGCAGGCAAATGCTCCCGTACAAACTCCAGGGATCCATCCAGATCGTCTGCTGCTGGTCCCATAAGAGGGCTGGAGCCTCTCATGGGGTTAGGGGCTAGGGTGCCTTGACTAAATGGATGCACCATGTCAGCAGACAGCGGAGTAGGCAGCATTGGATACCCTGCTGAGCTGGGGGGGGAATCAGGTGTGCTAGCCGGTATATCCGCTCGCTGAAATGCTTCGTGAAAGTCCTTGAAGACTGAGTCTGAAATGGGAGGCCTTTCGATGGTGACCGTAGCACCAGGCTCGACAACAGCAATTGCCCAGCGGTCTTGCTGCATGTAGTTGACACGGCGATGGACTCCGCTGAGAGGGTGAATGTAGCAGATGCTTTGGTGATGCTTTGAGCACATCCAGCGGGCTGGAAGTGCTCGTAGCGCAGCAAGCTTGTCGTACTTAGCCGGGTCACCCTCGAATCCAGCTTCAATATTCTGAAGATGCGCAACCGTAGCACTCTTAGGGCGTCTAGGCTGAGCAGTTTGAGACCGTTTCCTGACTTGGGAGGAGCGTAGCGGGGCCTGGGAGTCGTCGTCACTTTGGTAGGCCGACTTTGGCAGGGAGTAATGCGAATGGACGTTGATGCAGGCCTACCATTCGGGCTTAGGTGATAGCGCTTGACATTGACAGCTTTGACGAAGGTTTTCCAGTTGAGTTCACGGCGTAGTCGGTTCCACGGAGCATCACGGTCTCGACTCTTTCTGCGGAGTACCTTCCAGGACATTTTTGCGGTGAAATCGCGTAAGGTAATACCCCCAGGCAGGTCTTGATCATCCCGTAACTCCTCGAGCACTGCCTCTTTCAACTCGACCTCGACATCCGCCCAGTGTTTGATGGGGTTAACAATGAATGCTGCCTGGGCGTATTTTACCTTTGGTTCGCGGGTGACAGTGACCATAGCGGTGAAATTGTCGATAGTGATGTCAAGGTCAACGGGGGTAGGCTCATCTGGAACTTCAATGATGTTTTCAGACCTCTGCTGGGTCCTTGGTGGTTTGGTTGCTGTTGTTTCACGGACATCATCGACAAGGCATGGGGGCGGTCGGGTGGTACGAGCAGATAGCCTTCATTCTGTTGAATCGTTTCTGCGTAGCCTGCTTTCGTTTAGAAGGCATTTTGATGGAGTTGTTGGGTTGTTTGTGGTTTGGTCTGATTCCGCGCAGATGCGCCTAAGACGCGCTGTGTCAAGAATTTTGCACACAGCAGTACGACATCCTCAGCCGCCTCCATATACTGAAGAACCCCACAAAGCAACGATATCGAGAAAATGCTCTCCTATGGAATGCGGCATCTGCTGTGAAAAAGGCAAACACCTCTTCTGCGAAACATGCGTCGGCGAACGTATCCGACTCTTTCGGTACGAGATACTGAAGCTCTTGACGAAGAAGGAGAGGGCGGCGACGGAGGTTAGGAGGTGGGTCGAGGCGGAGGAGGCCGGAGGGGCGAGGAGGAGGGAGGCAGAAGGAGAGGAGGTGGGGAGGAGGACGGGGGAGGTTAGGGTGGTGGTTGAGAGGGAGAGGGAGAGGGTTGGGCAGGCGAGGGCGAGAGTTAGGGCGAAGAGGGAGGATATTACTGCGAGGGAAAAGCAGCTTCGGGATGCAAAGGAGTACCAGAAGACGCAGCGCTCACGAGAAGTCGATAAGGCTGCCGCGAGTATCGTCATCGCACGAGCGCGACTGGACACCGCTCTCACCGACTTGGCCGAGCAACGACACTGCGAAATCGCCGACCTCGCTTGCATCATGCGACTAACAAAATCCACCTTCGCAAACGGTACATTCTTCTTCCTCGCCGGTCTCGAAATCCCCGACTTACGCGAACTACGAAAGTTCGACGCACTACACCTCACGACCGTCCTTTCGCACATCTCACACGTTATCTGGCTGACAGCATCGTATCTCTCTGTGAAACTACCTCACGCAATCGTTCTACCAAATCTAGTGGTACATGACCCAGGCGTCTACATCCGACGAGACTGGAGCACGAGCGGGCGGAGTCGGTTACCTATGCATGTGGAGCAAGATATTGCCACGATGGACATTTCCGTCGTCGAGCGGTTCGTGGAGGGTACCAGTTGCTTAGCGAGCTGTGCAGCGTATCTCGGATGGACACAGCACACCTTCTCGGGCGAAGCAGCCGACACCCTCAATCTCGGCCAAGTCCTTTACGACCTCTTCACCACCACGAACGAGAAGAAGGGACTATGGACACACGACGCAGGACACATCAGTAAAGCTGCACATGGTGATGGAGAGATCTGGACGATGGATGTGGATAGTATTGCGAGGAAAACCATGAGGGCGTTGAAGAGGGGTGGTGCGGAGTGGCATGTGGTGGACGAGCGGGATGAGGTTGGGGATGAAGTCGGGGACGATTGGGATGAGGTTGACGGGAGTGGTGACTTGAACTAGGGCTCCTGGTCTGGCTACGGTGTTTCGGCGTTTTTTATTTTTGTTATTTATTTATTAATCGACATTGTCATATCAGGCGTGACGTCAAGGAGTCCGCGCACATAGGAAGCGTTCGAAGTCGCAAGACGAAACTCAACACCAAAAATCAGATTGATGCTCTTGATCCGGAAAATCCCAAAGAGAATATTCATCACCGCTACCCGTCAACAACTCCGTCTCACCACTCGAACTCGCACAGTCGTCCGCACATTCCACTCTGCACCCCCCATCATGTCCAACTCTACCTCCACCTCCGCAAACAAAGACGACAGCAGGAAAGTCGCTGGTGAATCCGAGGATTGGCATAAGCAGCCTCCATATGGCCTCGCTGAGCTCGATAAGGAGTTCAAGGCAGATTGGGAAGCGTCATGTTACTGCGGCGGTGTACAGTACGAGGCAAGGGGTGATCCACTCGATGTCAAGTTCTGTCATTGTAAGGGTTGTCAGCGTCTACACGGTGCTCCCGCTCAATGGGTATGTGTCATGTCTAATAGTCCAATTGCATGGAATGCTAACGATGTAACAGGCCGCAATCTTCCACAAAAAGGATATCCACATAACAACCCCCGCCTCAAACATCGGCTTCTACAACTCCGAACACGACAAACCTGACCGTGACCTGCCCTGCAAACTCCACTGCAAAAATTGCAAGTCTCCCATCTTTGACGAAGGCCGAAACATGGTGATGCTATTCCCCACCCTCATTAAATTCCCTCGCAAGGCATCTGGTCTTAAGAATCCCGAGGCGGATCAGACGTATGTTCCGGATGTATGGAAGGCAAAGTGTCATATCTTTTACAAGTATCGGGTTATGGACGTGCTTGATGGGACGCCTAAGTGGAGTGGGCATAAAGATGCCAGTGATCCGTGTGAGGAGAGGATTAGACGGATGAGTACTGTTGAGGGGAAAGAGGCGCATCAGAGTGGGGATAAGGAGAGTTCGGAGAAGACTGAGCCTGAGAAGGGCAAGAAGGAGTAAACAAATCAAAGAAGACGGCGTTGTGGTTGTGTTTAGCGAAATGGGGGTTGGCGAACGGAGTTGTGTCGAGATATTGATCGCGGCGTTATATTTCTTAGAGGAACAGAATACATCTATCATATTACGTACGACCAAGAACGGATAACACGGGTATCATACACTCCACGGCCAAGCCCAACCTACTTATTCTTATGAAACAGCCCCGCAATCATCATCTTTGCCTTATCCGCCAGCCCAGCATCCGCCTGCCCCTCCGGCGCCTTCTCCCTCCTCTCCTCCATAACCGCATCACTATCAACGCTTCCACCCACAGCTCCATGCGCATGATTCCCATGTCCCACAACCCCTACCGAATTATCCGCCGGCTCGACATTCCCTGCTCCGCCGCGTCCAGTGGAGAACCCTTCACCGGCTTCGAGACCAGGCGAAATCTGTTCGGAGGAGAATTCGTCTGTTGTTACGGCGGAGGGATCTCCGGGGACGTGGTGACGGGCTGAGCCGGCGTTACCCATGTTTCCTGTGCCGCCGCGGCCTGTTGAGAAGGCTTCTCCGTGTGCGCCTGGCATTTCCATACGGACGACGTTGGCTGTCAATCACAACGATTAGTGATTGAACTTGGATCAAGGGAGAGGGAGAGGGTCGTACGATCGATCATGGGAGTTGTGTCGACGCCAAAGTTGCCGGCACCGCCTCTACCGTGCGAGGTTACTTCGTCTGGGCCGTGTACGCGAACGCGATCACCGTCGTTCTCGAGGATTGGGATTGTTGTTGACATTGCGATTGATGTTATTGCGATTGAACAATAATTGCGGAGGACTTACACTTTATAACAGCGAGTTGCAGATGACGTACTTTCTCTTATCTCTGTCGCCGGGTGGCGGGTTCGGGCGGGCCGTCTCGAGAGCCGACCAGAAGGGAAGGTAAAGAAGGTATCACTATCGTAACGAGAACAAAAACTCCAAAGAAACAGCATACATCTACTCCTACTCCTTATGAAGCAACCCCTTGATCTTATACTTCAACTTATCCGCAACACCCGCATCAGCCAAATCCTTCGGCGCATTACTACTCCTCCTCTTGATCGTCTCCACCCCTCCATCGACCTCTTCTTGGGTGAGTTCACCGTGTTCAGTACGGCCTGCTGTAAAGTGCTTTGAGCCGCGGCGGGGGTGGTCGTGGTCTTCGATTCCGACGGCTTCTTCGACTTTTTCGCCGATGGTTTCGTGGTCTGGTTCGACGTTTCCGGCGCCGCCGCGGCCGGTGGAGAGGCCTTGTCCTGCTGCTGTGGCGGAGGAGCCGGAGCCGGAGTGGTGGTCATGATGTTCGTGATCGTAGTGACGGTGCTCTCCGTAGCCATCACCTCCAGAAGCAATGTCGGGATCAGGAGCTGGCGCATCGGGTGGTTGTGCCATGAACTGCGTGGGCTCCGGTGCAGGCGGCGAGCGACTCTCATCCACATTCCCTGTGAATCACACATGAGCCTGAAAGTGAACACAAAACCGCCAAGCATAATTTACCCATATTCCCAATGCCACCGCGTCCAGTCGAGAAGGCCTCTCCCGAAGCGCCTGCCAAACTCACCGGGATCACAACCGCTGTTATCCACTTTGTCAACCCTTCGCATACGCAAGCAGCCTGCAGCAGACAACATACGCTCAACAATCATATCCGCATCGTTCCCAATGTTCCCAGCTCCACCCCTCCCATGGGTTCTCAACATCTCCGTTTCTGTGTTCATAGCTGCCATAGACATACTTCCTGATCTTGGTCTGTGGAAGTGTATGGGAGATTTGATTTGCATAAGGAACTCCTCGTCTATTTAAACGAATGCTTCGTCTACGGAAATGTAACATTGAAGGGTTCACGGCCTACCGTATCTCGTTATCAGTGCTTCGAGTTTAAAGTGAGGCTCGGCCGTGATTTCAGTGCGCAGCGGTTGATAGGTACGCGAGCTCGCCTCAAGTACGCGGGAAAATACAATGCTAGATATTTGTTTTCAGAAGTCTAAAAGTATCCCAAAGCACGATCCAACTCCAATAAATCATCCAGGATCCTCTCACTCCGAGCTCCCGTTTTCTTCGCGATCTCTGCTCTTCGTGTCGTTGACATACTCGCAAAGGTCGACACCAAACTTCCGTCGATGACTCCGCGCATGGCGTTGGATGTGCGGCTGACATGGGTGGAGAGTCTGTAGGCGCGGTTGTTCAAACCGGCGACGGACTCCTCGGTCGTCGCGATTTGACCTTGGAGGATGTTGAGACGACGGTATGCGCGTTCGGAGATGGGGGTCACCATGCCGAGGTTTCCCGAGAGGGTGCCTGCTAAGCAAAGATACTGCTCCACACCCTCCTCACCTCCTGGTCGTGAGAGGAGTGCTTTGGGCAGCATCTTCATCGTCTTGATCTGGTGACCGATATGGATATCTGCTCGTCGCAAAAGCTTCTCGCCTGCCAATGATTGCGGACTTTCGGGATCGTATTGGAAGATGTGGGCGTTTCCGTGGCCGTCTGCAATGACGAAGCGTAAAGCGCTGCCCTTGACGATGAAGTCACCTGCGACGGTTTCCAGTGCTTCAGAGTCCTTCCCGAACGTGGTCATCTTGTAAGGGTTCTCAGAGAACCCGACGAACGAGATACTCTTCGCAATATCACCAAACAAGAGCATGTTCTTCAGGGTTTTGGCAATGGAGACGTACATGTGCAGATCAACAAAGGCAACACCAACGAGACGATCATTGCCCTCATCAAACCCGCGGACGATGACTTTCTGCCCTTGCGACGCCAACAGATACCCGTTGATATCGCACACGACCGATACCGCTCCTTTGACCTCCTCAGACCAGATCAACCTCAACGCCTTATTCGTCTCTGGCTTTCCGGGTTCAGGATTAACATCAATCACCTCAAACAAATAAACCGTCCCTCTCATCGCCAAATCCTCACCCCTAAACATCCCCGTCCCGACCGCAATATACTGCGCCCTCTTCTTCGTCACTTCCGAGATCTCGAGATCAACAGTCTTCACACTCAACGCAAACTCATTCGGCGCGAACTCGTGGCGGTAGATAACGGACCAGGTGTGGGGTGACACGAGACATAGATCACCGTGTTGGGTGTCTGGGAGGAATTGACTTTCTTTGTCAAATTCGACGGCGGGTTCGCTGTCTTCGTTGACGAGTTCGAAGGGGATATTTTCGGAGGTGGCGATGATGTAGGTTTGGGATTTGGGGTGGTAATCGACGGCGTGGACGTTTCTGCCTATTGGGACTGTGCGGGATGACCATTTGTTGTCAAAGGTGAAGCTATCGGGGAGGGCAGCGATGCGGATGCTGCCATTGTTATCGGCGTAGATGTATCCCTTCTCTTGGATGGGGTTGGAGAAGGTCGAGAATGCCACCGCGGGTGTCTCGGATGCGTTTGGGTGTATCCGTACCGGAGACTTTGCCGTCTTGATAATCCATGAGGGCGCCTTGCCTTGCAAGAAGACACCGGAATACCCGGCAACGTTCTCAAACGGTACCATCTGCTTCACCTTTGCTTGCTTCAAGTCGACACCTTCGTTTTGTTCAACACCATCCATAACTGTGTCGGGATGAATCGGTTGTCTCGTCACAGCATCGCACGGCACCTTCGTGAAGCGAAGCTTTCCTTCGTGCTGGTAAGGCTTGTAGATGACAATGTCGTTCCGTAGTGTCCTTGCCAGTAGATGAGGTTCCTTCCTCTCATCACCCATATCCGTAACCAAGATCTCCACAACCTTACCTTCATCGCCTTCCGTGGCAGCTTCACCTTCATCATGCACCAGCGTTGCGGGTAGTCCTCCGAATCCAGGACACTCGAACACTGGCGTATATTCCGGGAGCTGGTAAACTTGCAGAGCACCGTTTGCGGTGACGACATAGGAAAACTGCCGCAACACACCTTCGGGATTCTGCTCAGCCAGCACAGACACGTTCTTCTCGTCGATCTCTACACCAGTTGCGTTCTTCGCAGCCGAAATTGCATCACCATAGACGCCATCCTCTTCATTGTCGTTCTCCCTCTTCCTCTTCTTCCCTGCATTGGCCTTCACCTCCTCATTTTCCTTCTTCACATCCGCACCCATGTCGAACATCGGATCTCGTGAGGCGAAAAGCGCACCTGCCACGACCTCGGGTTTCGCCAACGCTTCTGGTTTCTTCATCTCCTCCAACTCCTGACTCTTCCCGTTTACCTTGAACGTAACCAACTTCCCATTGTCAAGGGTAACCATGACATAAGAATCCGTGAAATGAGCTGAAAGGATAATCGCATCCTCACTCCCCTCCTCCTCGGTCGCAGGTACCAGTTGCATCAACTTCAAACGGGTATCAAACAGCCTCAACACGTTCTCGCCAACCTGAACGATACCCAATCCGCCCATTACGCCACCGACAGCAATCGTACGTTCTTCAGTTTCCCAGTCACTTCCCTCCACTGCGTCCAAACCTTGGGACGCATCGTAGACCATACTCGTCTCCTCACCGCCAATGACCAAGTAATTGTCACTTCCATCAGCTGCCTTCAATGTCCATAATCCCCTTACACCCTTGAACTCTAAGCCCATCTCCACGATAGGCATCACGCTCTTCCGCATCACCGTCAGGGCGCCCGACGCATCAGATCCCGTAGCGCAAACGAGTTCGAGTTCTGGCGTAATGCCAGCCTGACGCCGGGCCTGTGCGGGATCAGCGAACAGAGGCTCACCAACGGTGAAGTCGAGGATAGGGCCGCAATTCGTTAGGCTGTCGTGAAGGGAGAAGACATGCTCGCCCTTCTGTGCCTTCTTTTCTTGTGCAGGATTTGCGGACGAATCACCATAGAGATCGTCAAGATCCTCATCCTCATCCTCATCCTTAATTTCTGCTTTCACTGCCAGCTTATCACTCTTGACTTCACCTTTCCTGTTCCAACCCAACAGAATCGAATCACTGACCCGGCTCCCAAGGAAAACATGGGAGTCTCCTACTTGAACAGCACAGCTTGCACCGGCAAATCTCAAGAGATCACCCGTCACAACCGCCTTCTCCAGATGCATCTTCACGACCCTTGCACCGTCCATTTCCATGATCAGCTTCCACAAATGACCTTGCCTTGTAACCACCAGAACGTCAGGTCCACCTAACGGAACAGCAACGGCGCCGTCTAGTCTGAGGCTGTGTGCGCTCTCGTCGACGAACGTGAAGTCGGAAGTTTCCGCTGCATAGCCATTGACGGCGAGGGCGGATGTTCTGCCCTGTGAATCGATATATACCAGAGAGTTCGCTCCGATACATAGGAGACCACCGACGGGCGTTGGTAACGCAAGAACGGAGTGGATATCGTAAGGCAAATTGTTGATGGTGTAGATGGTTGAGGATGCGCGGGATGAGATATCGAGCGTGATGACAGAGACAATGCTCGTGTCTTTTCGATGCTCGAGAAGAGAGGTCGTGGTGCGATGTGGAGTATACAGGAGCGCGACCGTAGGTTCTCGGTATCCGTGAAGGAAAGTCATGGCGGTAATATTGCTAAGCGCTTCGTCGAGCGTAGACACGTGAAGGACAAATGATGACAGGTATGGCTTATCGGACTGTTGCTCTCCATCTGGCGCATCCTCGAGCAGATCATCGTCCTCTTGTCGGAAGGGAATGATGGCCAGCATGTCGCGGTTAAAGTTGAGCGTCGCGCATCGACCGGTCGCATCGACATATAACCTTGAGTCCGTTTCGTCACCTCGAGGCGTGAATGGCTGTTGATGAGAATGTTGCTCGTAGTAGTGAAGGCTGACCGTCTGCAGCTTGTAGTTCGCAGCATCCCATTCCACCAGTGACACTTTCGCGTCGCGGAAGGATATCAGAAGAGATTCCGCACCTGGTGTAGTGGGGGATATCGTGCGTATTGTTGCTAGAGAAGTGATTGTGCCGTTGAGATGAAATTCTGCGACAAATACAAGCGAAGAAATGCGATCTTGTCGGGATCGTAGGAGGTGTACATCATTCAAGAAGCCCTAGATCTCGCGTCAACATCACTCAATGGACCGCCAATCACGCGAAGGTACCTGCTCCTCGCCCTCACCTCTCCCTGGCAATACAACATCTTCCCTCTCAGTCTCCTCTTCGACCGCAATCTCCCGCTCCTCGTCAAAAACGTCAAAGATCTGTAACAGCGAGCTCTTTGCAACAATCAGATTCCGCCGGCCCCTGCCCGTGAATTCACAGTACACAGCAGCATCGACCGCCGTCGGATCAGTCAAATCCTTCCAGCAGGTCTGCATTATTCCGACTTGACTGCCTTTGGAGTTCACCTCCGAGGCCCTACCGACGTACGGTACGGTATACGCGCACCGTCACGTGTGCCCTGGTGCCTTAGATCCGAGGAGGGAGGAGAAGTCGGAGAAATCAGAGAATTCAGAGAATTCAGAGAAGTCCGGCGAAATGTCACTGAACGTTGCAAAGTCCGCCTTGAACAACGCCGTTTACCGAAGTGCCGCTGGTGTTGCCAGGCGCAATGCGTCCGTCTCTGCTGTTGTCTTCGCACAGGCGCAGGATGCCGCACAGCTCAGCATCAGGGAAAAGTACGAGGCAAAGTTGAAGGAGAAGGCAAAGAAGGAGGGTCTCTCGAACATCGATGAGTTGAAGCAGAGGTACGCGGATAGGATTGCTGCACAGCGCAAGGCCCACAGCAAGGTTGATCCGCTAGCGAGGCTCGAGGAGGCACTGAACTCGCCTGATGGTAGCCTGAAGCTGGCAAAAAGCAAGCAGCATGCACCAATTCTGGATAAGGCCAAGAAAGTGGTGGAGACAGCCCCGGACGGTGTCAAGCGTCTCTCATCCTTTGTCGACGTCGAGGCATTGTCCAAACACGCCAACGCCAAAGAAATTGATCTCATCTGGCGAGCACGACACTCATCCGACAATTCCCTCATGTGCGCAACAGCCGAAGCACCAACAGTCCAGAAAATGGAGGCAGTTGGAAAACAGAACCCGATGTTCGTTCTTCCGCTGCCACGGGGCGAGCAGGGTATTGAGATGCAGTTCATGCAGTGGATGTTCCCGGCCAATGGCATATCCCACGTCCTCTTCACCAACCTTGGTGAATACAAGTTGAAGGGAGAGTTTGCGCGTCCGCATACCACGCTCGCGCATTATCACGATCTCGCAAAGTCGCATGAGTTGGTATTGGTGAGAGGAGAGGTTGATCCGGATCGGGGGATTAGTGACAATGATGCTAGGTGGTTGGTGCTTGCTCTGCAGAGGTTTTATGGTGCTAAGGAGGGGACGGAGGATGGTGATAGGAAGTTGAGGTTGTTGAAGGGGTTTAACAAGGGTGGAGAGGGCTTTGATTTGGATGAGCTGTTGAAGGACTGTGCTAAGCTCGTCTAGACAGAACAAAAGCAGCATAGGGTACGATATACATTGAGATGAGGTATGATCTGGTATAGTTAAATTACACTATATCTTTACGGCGCGAAACCGTCCAACGTCCTTGATATCCCTCACTGTACCCACCCGCCAGCTGATGTCCTCCTCACCCGTTTCGTCCAGCTCTTGGTTCTTCCATTGCCACCACTCGGGCCTCTTTCCCTTCACTAGGAACTCCCATACCCATTTTCCGACGATGGGTAGCATCTTGAATCCATGTCCCGAATCGCCACTCACCACCATGAGTCCCGAAGTTTGGGGTACAGAGGCGATGATGTAATCCGAATCTTTGGTGTCAGCACACCAACAGATCTTCTTCTCCACGAACGGGCGATCGGCAAACTGTGGCAACGCCTCCCTCAATAATCTCCGAATCGCAAGTTCGTCCTCCTCGGGAATCCCCTCATTCGTTTCCGTGGGGATGGATACTCCATATGCATTCCTATTGGTATACCCAGCGCTCGCGTTGCAAAGCTTCAACACGTTCGTCCCAGGCTCAGGCTCGAAAAAAAAACCGAGGTCACGACAGTTAACCACCGGTATTCCGCGCATTGGCACCGCCTCCTCCTCGGTCAACTGGATCAGGCCGACTGCCCAAGCCTTTGCTGTCAGCTGCTTAGCGAGTTGAGGAATGAGCGAGGCTGCGTGGGCACCCAAACATACAATGACGAGATCTGCAGTGTGGAAGCTTTGGTCAGCTGTCAGCGCGCCAAGGCATTTTCCGGAGGAGTCGTAGCGCAGCTCGGCTACGCGGCCCTTCTGCTCGCCGGTATTGAAAGTCACTCCGAGCTTAGTGCACTCCCTTGCTAGGGCTTCTACGGCCAAAGCAGCCTGAGCGTAGCCTGCGTGTTTGTTCAGGTATCCTGCCCATCCTGTTAAGGGCCCAGTCAGTTGCGGCACCTTCCTCCTCACAGCGTCGGGATCCGCAAGTTTGGTGATAGAACCTGAAAAGGCAGAGTGTGAGGAAATAGACGAAAGAGATTCTGCAAGCGAGTTCTTAGACTTCTCTGGAGCCGCAGCTGACGTGCAGACAAGATATCCAGTCTTCTGGAAATATGGTGCGAAGGGTGGTTTCTGCCACTCCTGAATTGCTTCCTGTATGTCCAAAACGTAAGCTTAGTTTTCAGACGCTCGCATTTCGGCATAGGGTACCAATGCAAGATCAGTGTAGAACGGATTATCGTATTCTGCTCTCACGATCTTATTCAGATCAGTTCCGGCGGAGTACGGTGATGGGACATCGGCGCGGTCGAGGACGTGGATATTTGAGTAGCCCCCTTTGGCGAGATGGTAGGCGGTCGAGACGCCGAATGTTCCGGCCCCGAGGATAAGGATCTTGGAAGACTGTGGAGGAGGATGCGACATGGTAAGCTTGTTGACTATGTTCGAAAGAGACAACGTCTTGATCCAGCAGTTGGTCTATATACAGTCATCGCCATAGGCGAATCGTTTGAACTTTTGTACATGAACCGTTTACCGATACCAAATATTCTGGAGGAAGGTCATTGCGAGGATGCGTACGGCAGCGAAGCTCGGCAGCGCTAGCGCGGTTTCTCCCTATGTTGGGTTATCGATATGAGTGCTACGTACATACGTTGACGTCTCAAGTCCGCCCATCTGCTATGTCGAATCGATCGAGATCAATGGCAATTGCAAGGGGAAACGGATGCTGGAAGTGCAAAGGTACGGATCATGATCAGCCCAGCTTCTAGACGGTCGTTTGACTAACCTGCGAAAAGAGCGCCGTGTTCGCTGTACCGGTGAGCGTCCTTCTTGCACCGCCTGTACACGCCTGGGACACAGCTGCCAGTACGGAATGAAACTCCAGTGGAAAGAGGATGCAGAGGCGAGAGGAATCACCTTCGGGCGTGAAGGTGTCTGGAGCAAGCACAAGCCTGGGAAACAACGCAAACAGGGCGAGACACAACTCGGATTACACCATGTGGTCGATCTGAGGGCCTTCGAAGGTCGGTTTATGTTTCTGAATACTACGTACAGGGACTTTGTCGGTACTGGCAGGAGGACCCGGGAGGAACCGGATCTTGAAGAGCATCAAATTGACGCTGTGACGGATGGTGATTGGCCAGCTTCCGCAACCGATCCACGACAAGTGTTTCTCTCTGAAGATGTTGCCACAACCAACCCAACACTGCTGTCCGCCAGCAGCATGTCACTCTTCACGCCATCGCTATACCAACTCGATTCCATCACCTCTCACCTCCTCCAATACTTCATCGAAAGGATTTGTCCGGCTTGCACTTTGACATCCTCTTTCAACCCGTACCTCAAAGTGATCACGCCCATTGCGCTGTCATCACCCACGTTGTTGCAGGCGGTTCTTGCTGTCTCAGCGGACGAGCTCCGAATAACAAGTGACAGGCAATATACTGACCTGGCATTAACGTACAAATCGAAGGCCCTCAATGGCTTAAGACGGGATATGCAACGAAGTTTACAGTCGGGTGTGGTAGACAATATTGTTGCCACGTCATTAATGCTCTGCTTTTTCGAGATTGCAGCAGGGTGCAATCGGGAGTGGGTGACCCATCTCAAAGGTGCACGAAACTTGTGCGACCTTTACAGGAACTCAGAGAGACAAGACCAAAACTTCAGGCGGTTCATCACCATGTACTTTGTGGCTCATGAAGTTATGGGTCGAACAGCATGGGAAAGTGAGCTGTTGTTCGAGTGTGATCAGTGGTTTGACGGAGATGACGAGAGCGAGATTGACGGGATGATGGGGTGTTCACGGGAGCTGATGAAACTGATTTCGAAAATCTCGAATATGGCGAGTGAACTGCGAAGAGATGAAGGCCCAGCAGAGCAGTTTGCCGAACGACGGAATGAAGTGGGACGCAAACTCTATAGCCTTTACCAGTGGTCTCCAGAGGTTAACCCTGAGTTGGACGCCATCGCAGAGATAAAGCGGTTATCGGCACTCATATACTTCTTTGCTAGGCTTGAAATGGCTGGACCCTCCGAGCCTCGTATGGAGGAATTGACGGGTCAAGTTATCGACATGATGCGTTTACTACCAGACAAAGCCACGTTACTTTGGCCGTTGTTTATCATAGGTACTTTAGGTGTTCAATCTGAGGAAGATCGACGGTTTGTTCTGGATAGGCTTGAGAACATGCAGCGGAAACGGGACCTCGGGAGTATTCGTAAAGGTCGAAAGGCGATTGAGGCCGTGTGGGTAGACCGTGATCTGGGAAGAACTGGAAGCTGGGAGTATCTGGTGGAAGGCAGAGGAGGGCTGTTGAGCTTGGCTTGATGCAAGTTGCGCGATAAATGCGTATGGTGATTAATATGGATCACCATTACTAATATCTATCGCTATATTCCACCCTTAAGCAGCCTCTGCTTGCGTTGTCGTGTATGCTGCAAGACTTCCACTGGCCCTCGGATAAGTTTCCCTCGCCGTCGTCGCACCATTGGCAGTTCCCCCGTTCACTCCGTTTTCGCCTGTTTTAGGCACAGCACCCCATCCACCTCCGGAAGGTGTGTGAATGACACAGCGGTCACCAGGTTGCATGCTCACCATGTTCTTTGGACCGAGATTGATCCACCTCTCCGACCCATCCTCATTGCTAGTCACCCAGTAATTGGCACCACATTGCCCTTCCTCGCCTCCGTTTAAGCCATAGGGACGGTGTACGCGGCGCTCAGTGATGACGCTGAACTTCAACGGAGCGCGACATTGATAGTCGCGGATCACACCGTCACCGCCGTTGAACAGACCACGACCTCCGCTGTCCTTACGGATACTGAATTCACGCATAAGGACAGGATACTTCTTCTCGAGCAATTCGGGATCGGAGATGCGTGTGTTTGTCATGTGCGTGTGAACACCACTCGCTCCATGCCAACCTGGACCAGCCCCGCTTCCTCCGGCGATGGTCTCGCCGAATGCGTAGGCGTGCCCGCTGAGCTTGTTACCGTCCTTGTCGACGCCTCCCTCGCCGAAGAAACCCAGACAATTCATGCAGCCTTGAGATGCTGCGGCAGCCTGGAAGGTTTTCAGGATGAGATCGCAAACTCTTTGAGACGTCTGAGTGTTTCCTGCACAAACAGCAGCGCCTGCGGTGGGGTTAAGGAAACTGCCCTTGGGTAATATGACTTCAATAGGTGCCAAGCATCCCTGGTTGAGGGGAATGTCGGTACCGATCAGGAGACGTAAACAGTAGATGATGGCTGAATAGGTAATCGCGGGAGGTGCGTTCATGTTGCCGTACATCTCGCATGACGTACCGGTGAAGTCGAAGACCGCGCTGCCATCAGGCTTAATGTTGACAGCCAACTTGGCAATAGATCCAGAATCCATGTAATCCTCGCCTTGAAGGATGGTGAAGCCGAACTTCTCACGCGTCCTGAGCAAGTAATCACGAACAGCAATCTCAGCGTTCGCTTGGATAGCGTTCATGTAGAGCTGCACGACCTCACGGCCAAATTCCTCCATCAAGCGCTGAATGAGTACCATTCCCTTGTTATTGGCAGCAACTTGCGCCTTCAAGTCTGACAGGTTGTCGTTGATACGGCGAGAGCCATTACAGCCTTCGTAGTTCCCAGGAGAAAGGAGGATATCGACGATACCGACCTCATCAAACTTGCCATTGTGGATGAGCCTGAATGAACGAATCGCTGCTCCCTCTTGCCATAGCTGAGTCGAGTTGGGCGGCATGGACGTTCCACCAAGACCACCGATATCCGTGTGATGGCCACGAGAAGCGACGTAGAACGCAATCTCCTTGCCAGTGGACTCAAAGACAGGGGTGATCACCGTGATGTCTGGCAAATGCGTGCCACCGGACTCAGGGTGATTGGACACAAGCACGTCTCCGGGAGATAACTTGCCCTTGAGAAGTTCGTGCTGGTACTTCACGGCATAACTCATACTTCCGAGATGGACAGGGACATGAGGGGCGTTCGCAACAAGACCACCGTCTGGTCCAAAGACAGCGCAAGAAAAGTCAAGGCGTTCCTTGATGTTGAGGGAACAGCTGGTTCTTTGCAGAGTGCGTCCCATCTGCTCGGCGATACTCATGAACCTATGACCAAAGACAGACAACTGAACAGGGTCAACAGTTGTCGCCGAGGCAGCAACCTTCGTTGCTGAAATCTCAAGATCAATGATGACATGAGAGGTGATGATACGTGCCTCTGCACCCGGGACTACGACGATGGTCTGTGTCTTGTCGATGATCATGGCAGGTCCTTCGATCTTCAATCCCGGTGGAAGGTTGTCGAGGACGTATACCGGAGTGTCACATCGTCCGATTGATTTGAAGAAGACACTCCTGGTCTCCTTCGATGCAGTCTCGTCAACTGTATCGAACTGCATGTGGCCCAACTCAGCCGCCAGAGACTCGTTGTCCTTAGCACTCTCGCCACTCTTGCCAATGCCTCTGATACGGATGTCATCTACAAGGATCTTGCGGTCGTCCGGGAAGACGAACACGAATTCACGGAGATGTTCCTCCAGGAAGGCAGCCTTGAAATCTCCGCTCTCCGGTTCGAGAATCATTAAAGCTGTGTCCGTACCCTGATAACGGAGGTTAAGGTAGGCTTCAAATGTCATCGACTCCTCTGAGACACCCTGAGCGAGGAGCTCCTTTGCTGCCGTCTCCTTGAGAGCAGCCAGCCTGTTGCGCAATCGAGACATGGAATCAGCAATCAGCTCTTCGCTGCTTGGTTCTTGTGCTTCTTGCACAACCTCAGCGAGTGCCATACCATACGCTGACAAGATAGAGGAGTACTTGTGCAGGATGACTCGAGAGATCCCGAGGTTACAGGCAATCTCACAAGCGTGCTGACCACCGGCTCCGCCGAAAACTCCCAGGTTATGCGCAGCAGTCTCATGACCACGAGCTTCGGTCAACGCCCTGATAGGCCGGCACATCGCTTCGTTGGCAACTTCGATGAAGCCGTTTGCCACCTCCTCGGATGTCATTTCGCGGCCGATGTCGGCGCTGATGACCTTGGTAAGTTCGTTGAACTTCCTGGTAACGATGTCGCTGTCCAGAGGCTGGTCCTCATTGGGTCCAAAGATCTTCGGGAAGTATTCGGGAAGGAGGCGTCCGAGGAAAAGGTTGGCGTCGGTGACCGTTAATGGGCCACCCTTACGGTATGAAGCAGGTCCTGGATGAGCAGATGCACTCTCAGGACCGACCTTGAAGAGACCATTGTGCCAAGATAGTATACTACCTCCTCCAGCGGCGACAGTGTTGATGTCCAGCTGGGGGCTCTGAATGGTGACGCCGGCTGTCGTAGTTTCGAAGACGTGCTCGAATGCGCCTCCGTACCTGCTGACATCCGTACTCGTTCCACCCATATCGAAACCGACGATAGGAGTTTTGCCCTCATACGAGGTTCTTGCGTAGCCGACCACCCCGCCAGCTGGTCCACTGAGGATACCGCGAAGACCACCAAAGCCCTTGTACCCGATAAGACCTCCATCACTCTGCATAAATTCGCACCGAAGTCCGTCCAAGTTGCCTCCTTCAAATCCTTTGCAGAAGCCTTCGATGTATTTTTTGGTTTCCGGGGTGAGGTAAGCATCTGCGGAGGCCGAGCTTCCTCGAGGGACCATCTTAATCATGTTCGCGCCGACTGCGGATGAGAGAGATATATGCGAGAATCCCATCTCGGATGCGATCTCGGCGATGCGTTGCTCGTGGTACGGGTAGATGTAGGAGTGTGCGAGACATACGGCGAGCGTGGTGAAGCCGTCTGCCCGGAGCTTTTCCAAGGATGCTCGAGTAGTGTCTTCATTTAGAGGTTCGAGAATCCTGAGCATGTCACCGCTGATACCACGGACCAGTTCACCAGGGATTTCTTCTGGGTCTTTGGTGGTGCCATCCACATCTTCATCAAATCCCTCAACGGTGATACGTTCATCGATCTCGACAACTTCATCGAAGAGAACATCTGGCTTGACGATATTCAGGTCGAACAGACGTGGGCGCGACTGGTTGCCAATGATGAGAAGGTCTCTCAGGCCCTTGTTGACAAGAAAAACATGTCTGGTACCTTTGCGCTCGAGCAAAGCGTTCGTGGCGACAGTAGTGCCCATACGGATGGAGTGAAGGTGCTCTTTCGGTAGAGGCTGTCCTCGAGGCAACTCATCTCCGAGGTGCATCGAGAGAACGCGACGAATACCTTCGATTGGTGCGTCTTGGTAATTGTCGGGATCAACGGACAAAAGCTTGAAGATGACATCGCCTTTGCCAGGTAACGACGCCCAGACGTCGGTAAATGTGCCTCCGCGGTCGATTGCAATCTTGATTCCAGAGTCTGATGTAGCGTGCATAGTGGTTGGATATAATTCCTTGGATTTCTCAAATGGAAGTGGCGGATCAATCCCTTTTAAGATGGTCCACAAGATATGCGACTGCCATGATCCGGTATCCGAGTAAGTTAGGTCGCTGCGACCTTCATACGCTCCCTCGCGATATCATGGCAGTCATTATCGACTATCGATAGCATCCGACACGGATTGCTGAAATAGTTCATCGACATTTGGTGTACTGTACCGTCCTCGGCGCACCTCTGATCTCGCTTCAAATTCGAGGAAGGTCCGCGCGAGGTGAATGGCGCTAGCGGGGTCCTACGACGCATCTCCGAACCTTATCTGGTACGCCCATAGCTTACGATCAGCCGGAGGGCATCTCGGTTCGCGTGGACCATCCTCAGGATTTATCGTAATCAACACACCAATATCGGCCCTATGTACTCCCCACACAGCCTCGGATCGATAAGGCCGGCGGTTCATTGGTCATTCCCGATGGATCAAGTATAAAGCTGGGCCTGCTCTCGACATTGATCTCGTACAGCACACGATCTAGCTGTTTGCAAACTTACTACAGCACGATGTCCCCTGCGCCTGAGATTGAGATGGAGAAGAAAGTCGTACCTACCCGCGACGTGGAGATTGAGAAAGGTGAAGTGGAGAGCTTGAACCTCGATAGAAAAGATATCGATCAAGCCGCTGCGTTCCTCGCCAACGCCGAGCAGTATCCTCCTCTCACCCCTGAAGCCGAAAAGAAGTTGAAGCGCAAGGTACGTTTGGTCTTATAAAGCAAATGAGCGCTGGCTAATGACGTTCTTCAGATTGACCGCTACATGATCCCCATGTTGTTCCTCACTGCTACCCTAGGCGCCGTCGACAAAGTCGCCCAATCAACAGCCGCAATCTACGGCATGCGTACCGACACCCACCTCGTCGGTCAGCAATACAGTTGGCTCGGCTCAATCCTCTCCCTCGGTGCCCTTGTGGGAATGTTCCCCTCCTCCTATCTCCTCCACCGCCTCCCATCGGCCAAATATTTATGTGGTTGCTCCATGTTTTGGTCTGCTATGACGTTCATGTTGGCTGCTTGCAAGAGCTGGAGTGGGTTGATGGCTGTGAGGTTCCTTATGGGTGCGGCTGAGGCTATCATTGTTCCTGGTATTTCGTTGTTAATTGCGGGGTGGTACAAAAAGAGTGAGCAGCCTCCGAGGAATGCTATTGTCTTTGCTGCGGCGAGTTCCGTGATCAATGGATTCTTGTCGTGGGCCGTGGGTCACATCCCCGACTCTGCTCCCCTTGCGATTTGGCAATACCTTTTCATCATGGTCGGTTCTATTTCTATGGCGTGGAGTATCTTTGTGTTCTTCGCCATGCCTGATTCTCCCATGAACGCTTGGTTCCTCACACCAGAGGAGAAATACCACGCCGTACAACGTCTTGCGGAGAACCAGACTGGTATCGTCAACAAGCAGTGGAAATGGGATCAGGTCCGCGAAGCTATGGTCGACATCAAGACGTGGATCATCTTTTTCTTCAATATCGCCATCAACATTCCAAACGGTGGATTGACAACTTTCTCCGGTATTCTGATCTCCAACCTCGGCTTCACCTCTGTTCAGTCCTCGCTGCTCTCCATGCCCACGGGAGTCATGTCGACCTTGGCGAGTTTCATCTTCTCCACCATAGCCGCAAGATGGATCAATCGCCGTTGCTTGACCTGCATCTTCGCTTGTCTTATCCCGATTATGGGCACAGCCATCGTCTACAGCTTGCCGCGCGATAATATTCCCGGGCAGATGGTCGGTCTCTACTTTCTCTACACCTATTTCGGACCTTACGTGGTCGGTATCTCGCTCGCTCAGGCGAATACGGCAGGCCATACGAAGAAGACCGTATCCTACGCTGTCTTGTACATTGGCTATGCCGTGGGTAACTTGATCGGTCCGCAGACCTTCAGAGCTTCTCAGGCTCCGGCGTACACTGGCGGTACCGTTGCCATGCTAGTCTGTTATTGTGTGTGCATCATGTTGATGGCGGGTTATTGGTGTGTCTGTCGTATCCATAACAGGAGGAAGGAGGCTGCTGCCAGCGGGTCTGTGGGCTTCAACGAGGGAGAACTTGCGGAGGGTTTCTCGGACTTGACAGACTGGGAACAGCCCAGCTTCCGGTATATCAGTTAAGTAAGTAGTAACGAGGGCTTTTATTGTTCGTTTCGTTGGTAGGGTATGGTTAAGGCGCCTTTGGTTTTCAGTTACCTTCTATTCATACCAATTTACTTCACATCTGTAATTGCAAGGGTATAATTCGGTATATTGATATATATCATGGGTATATCTTACTTCCTACATTCTTTCCACCCTTAAAGCGACTTCTCATACTCCATAATACCCTTCAACTTCTCATCCAACTCCTGAATCATCTCCTTACCGGCGGGCAACAGCGGACGACGAGGCTTACCTCCGTAGCCATAGTACTTGTCCATCACGTACTTGGATCCGGGGATGAAGTGCTTGAGGATAGGGTACTCGGCCTTACTGAGCATCTGCCCAAGCTTCTTGGCTTCCTTGTAGTTGCCCTCTGCCCAAAGCCTGTGGCACTTGACCAAAGTCTTGGGAGCGATGTTACCCATACCAGTGATGGCAGCCTCAGCGCCTGCCATGAGGGAGGAGATGAAGAGGTCGGTGGCACCAGACATGACGAAGAACTCCTCCTGAGAGAATGTTGCGGCAATACGAGTCATCTTTCCAACGGAAGAACAGGTCAACTTGCAGCCGACGATGTTCTTATTGGAAGAGGCGATGTCAATGATCAAGTCAGAGTCCATGTCGACGCCGTTCATGATACCGGGGAAGTTGTAGACCATGACACCGATGGGAGAGGCCTCAGCGACATCTTGGTAGTACTGTTTGAGGATCTCCTTGGTAGTGAGCATAGGGTAGTACGAAGGTGGGAGAACGAGGACATAGTCGGCACCCTCCTTTCCGGCGTCTTGACAGTAGTCGATTGTCTGCTTGGTGGAGAGGTAACCGCATCCAGAAATGACAAGGGTATCATGGAAGCCGGCCTCGTCGAGGGCTTGGCGAGTTGCACGGGTAATCTGCGCTCGCTCCTCACGAGTAAGGAAGACTGCCTCGGCAGTGGATCCTTGTACGACGATACCCTTGCATCCGCACTGAGCGAGGTAAACAGAGTGCTTCTTCTGAGTTTCGAGGTCGAGACTCTGATCAGCGTCGTCCTTGAAGAACGTGGTGACGGGGACGTCTGGAGGTCATGTTAGCAATGCCGAAGAGCTTGGATCAACGTCAGAACGTACAAACACCCGAGACGAGCTTTCTTGCTGAAGAACCGTTGGTGGCAGCTGGAGACATTGTAGGGAGTTGTTTGTGATTGACTGAGGATTTCCCCCAAGGGATCGAGGATCTTATAGGGTTTCGTGCTCCCCTCACCGGGCCAGTTCGTTGATTTGGTGGGGCCGGGTCAGTCGGAGCGCAGCCGCCGCACTCAAATTAGCCGTCGGCTGCCGAAACGGAGCAGTGAGGGCCGGTCGTGTCGGGGTAAGATGACCATACTTGTTTTTCTGTCATCAACCAGCCTGGCTAGCTCAATCGGTAGAGCGTGAGACTCTTAATCTCAAGGTTGTGGGTTCGACCCCCACGTCGGGCTTTTTTCCTTTCCCATGCACCCGCTGCCACGTCACAGCAGCTGTCACACGTTGCTGTCAAGGTGGTCTCGACATGGCCGGCGCACAGGCCTAAAGTTGTTGAAGGTGAAAACTTCAGATGTATTGCTCAGGAATTACCTGACCATCAAAACGAAGACAAAAGGGCAAAGCCCGACGTGGGGGTCGAACCCACAACCTTGAGATTAAGAGTCTCACGCTCTACCGATTGAGCTAGCCAGGCTGGTTGGTAATTCACGACGGATACGTCAAAACTCAAACTGAGCTCGCCCCGACGCTAAGGGAGCCCTGCGTAGACCTATCTCATCTTATATGTTAGGTCCCAAGTCCGTGAAGGCTGACGGCAGGTTGCATCCTCCGTGTACATCTGTAACTAGCACCCAGAGGACGGAAAACGCCAAGTCATGTTGCAAGAGTGGTGGCCCTGCTGTAGGTAGTACGCGTGGGAAAATCGAGGCAATGTTAGTCGAAAAATGCACATGATGCGATAGAGAACTGAAGGTAAAGGGAAAGTGTTAACTCATCTCTTTGAGCTGTAGAAGCTATGACCGAGCGGTAAGGACAGTGCGTACATGGTACAGAGTCGGTCTTAAACACGCTATGCACTTTTCTGACGAAAGAGAAGGTAATGATGAAATAATGGATTAACTATGAATGCTCGAAAAACAGATATCTATATTGACGCAACAACTACGTCATTTTGCACCCTTTAGAGGGCCTTTCCACCGACCCACTCGCTCCACCTCTTGACCTCAGAAGGCATTTCACCCTCCTTCAAAGTAGGGATCTTAGCCTGCAAGGCCTCAGCGAACAAAACAGCACACTTAGCATCGTTAACAAGGGTGATGTTGAAATCAACAGCATTCCTCCTCATGATGTAGTCAGCGTCGAGCAAGTCAGCAGCACGAGAGTGAGCAAGGTTGATGACGGAGTCAATCTCGTACTTCTGGAAGACAGCACGAAGGGCACGCTTGTCCTTCTTGGGGAACTCAATCTTGGTAAGCTCACCCTTGCCAGCCAAGACCTTGTTCAAGTGCTCCTCAACAGCGTCGGAAACACAGTACAGCTTGTAACCCATAGGTGCCAAAATCTCAGTGACCTTAGCCAACTCAGGCTTGTTGATGTCACCACCGAGCAAGATACCGCGGCCAGGCTTGGGGACGACGAAGTTCTGAGTAGACTGAAGAGCGGTCCAGTAGGCCTCCTTAGCATCTTTACCGAAACAAGCAACCTCACCGGTAGAAGCCATCTCAACACCGAGGAAAGGATCGGCACCAGCAAGACGAGTCCAGGAGAACTGAGGAACCTTGATGGCAACGTAGTCACGCTGCTCGACCATAGGGTCGACGGGCTCAGGAACATCACGACCCACGAGGGCACGGACAGCGACGTCAATGAAGTTGGTACCGAGGACCTTGGAGACGAAGGGGAACGAACGAGAAGCACGAAGGTTACACTCGATGACCTTCAAGTCAGGGACACCAGTCTCCTCATTGTCGGCCTTGATGATCTGCATGTTGAAAGGACCAGTGATCTCCCAGGCCTTAGCGACCTTAACAGCGATCTCCTTGCAACGCTCAATAACCTCCTTCTCGAGACCGATAGGGGGGAGAATGAGAGTAGCGTCACCGGAGTGAACACCAGCGTTCTCGACGTGCTCAGAAACAGCGTGGATCAAGAGCTTACCGCTGGAAGCAACAGCATCAACATCGATTTCACGAGCACCAGAGATGAACTTGGTGATAACAACGGGGTGGTCAGGGGAAACGGAAGCAGCGTTAGTGAGGGTCTGCTCGAGCTTAGCCTCGTCGTAACAGACGTTCATAGCTGCACCAGACAAGACATAAGAGGGACGAACGAGAACAGGGTAACCGACTGAGTCAGCGAAGTCCTTGGCGGCATCGACGCTAGACAACTCCTTCCAGGCGGGCTGATCAACGCCGATCTTGTCAAGAATCTGAGAGAACTTGTAACGGTCCTCAGCCGCGTCAATCATCTTAGGGTCAGTTCCGAGAACCTTAGCTCCGTTATCCTGGAGCTTAAGAGCAATGTTCTGAGGAAGCTGTCCACCAACACTGACGACGACACCCTGGGCGTTCTCCATCTCGTAAATGTCCATAACACGCTCGTAGCTGAGCTCCTCAAAGTACAAACGATCGCACTCATCGAAGTCAGTGGAGACAGTCTCGGGGTTGTAGTTGACCATGATGGTCTTCTTACCGACCTCACGGAGGGCACGAGTAGCGGAAACACCGCACCAATCGAATTCGACGGAAGATCCAATACGGTAAACACCAGATCCCAAAACCATGGTACCGTTCTCGTTGAACTCAACATCGTTGGTGGAAGCGTTGTAAGTGGTGTACAAGTAGTTGGTGTTGGCAGGGAACTCAGCCGCAAGGGTATCAATCCTCTTAACAAAGGGCGTGACACCGAAGGACTTACGCTTGGCACGAACCTCCGCCTCGGTAGAACCGACGAACTTGGCGACCTGCTTGTCGGAGAAACCGTGCTTCTTAGCCTTGGTAATAAGCTCAGCAGTCAAGCCCTCAAGGGAACCGGCGGCCTTGATCTCCTTCTGAACATTGTAGATGTTCTCGAGCTTGTACAAGAACCACTTGTCGATCTTGGTAAGCTCGTGGATCTGATCAACGGAGTAGTTCTCATTAAGCAAAGCCTGACCAACAGCCCAGAGACGACGGTCGGTAGGCACGCTCAAAGCGTTGTCAAGGTCATCGAACTTAATTCCCTCGAAACCAAGGAAAGAGGGGTCAACCTGACGAATAGCTTTCTGGAAAGACTCTTCGAAGGTACGGCCGATAGCCATGACCTCACCGACGGACTTCATGGCAGATCCAATGTCGCGCTGAACATGCTGGAACTTCCTCAAATCCCATCTAGGAATCTTAGTAACGATGTAATCCAGGGAGGGCTCGAAGTTAGCGGTAGTGGTCTTGGTGACAGCGTTGGGAAGCTCAGGGAGAGTATGGCCGAGAGCGATCTTAGCAGCCGTGTAGGCAAGAGGGTAACCGGTAGCCTTAGAAGCCAATGCAGACGAACGAGAGAGACGAGCGTTGACCTCAATGACACGGTAGTCAAGACCGCTGGGGTGGAGGGCGTACTGAACGTTACACTCACCAACGACACCCAAATGTCTGATGATCTTGATGGCCGCAGAACGGAGCATGTGGTACTCCTCATCACTGAGGGTCTGGGAGGGCGCAACAACGATCGAATCACCGGTGTGGATACCGAGGGGATCGAAGTTCTCCATGTTGCAAACAGTGATACAATTGTTGGCAGAATCACGAACAACCTCGTACTCGACCTCCTTCCAGCCCTTCAAAGACTTCTCGACAAGGATCTGGGGAGTAAGAGAAAGGGAACGGGCGGCCATGGCCTCGAGTTCCTCCTTGTTGTCGGCGAATCCAGATCCCAATCCTCCCAAGGAGTAAGCAGAACGGATGATGACGGGGTAACCAACGTTCTCAGCAGCAGCGAGCGCATCATCGACAGTGCCGACAGCAACGGACTCAGCAATGGGGATGTCGATCTCCTTGAGAGCCTCAGCAAACAAGTCACGATCCTCGGAAGTCTCCAAGGTCTTGATGGGCGTACCGAGGACCTTTACGCCCAAACGGTCAAAGACACCCATCTTGTCGAGCTTGACGCCCAAGTTCAAGGCGGTCTGACCTCCGAAAGTGAGCAGGACACCATCGGGGCGCTCGCGCTCGAGGATGTTGATAAGGTACTCGGGAGTGAGGGGAAGGAAGTAGACCTCATCGGCGAGGTAGTGAGAAGTCTGGATGGTAGCAATGTTAGGGTTGATAAGGATGGTGTGGACGTTGGACTCCTTCATGGCCTTGATGGCCTGAGCACCGGAGTAATCAAATTCTCCGGCTTGTCCGATGGAGAGACCTCCGGATCCGACGATCACGACCTTCTTGACATCGACCTTGGCTCCTTCGCCCTTGACGATGTCGCTTTTCATGTAATCATTGAGAGTGTTACCGCTTGCCTCGAGGGCAGAGCGAGAAGTAGAGAATTGGGCAAGGAGGGAGCCGGTCTTCAAGATCGTCGGACGGATCAAACGAGTGGAAGAAAAGCAGGATGACCTGGCCAAGGAGCGGCCAAGAGCCTTGACAGCGGGAGCCGAAGCCCTCGAGAGATTGGTAAACATAAGGTGCAGTTAGGGTTTAGACGACTGAAAAGGCTTTAACCTGATCCCTGGGTCTTCCAAACTGTGGATCGAGAGTCAGCATTCATAACGGCATAATCGTCGAGCAGAGAGAACGAACCGTGATCGGAGATGTAGTCTGATCTGGTGGATTCTGAAAAGAGCATACAAGTCAAGGTGACCGAGCTGCTCAGTAGATAAGCGATGACGGGGATCGCGTTGGCGGTGTTGTCCTGGGGGTGTATGCTGACGAAGTGCTCGTTATCAGCGCAGCCAGTCTCCCGAGCTTTGACGAAGGGTCCCTCGGCGCGCGCTGACTCGACACTGGTAAACCCCGGCCCAGCCACAGGGAGATTACAGATATCGTTGGAAAATAACGATTTCAAGTAGGTAATGGGTATATGTGATGATGCTACTCCTTCTTTTTAAAGCGTCTTCTTATCCTTCAGTCTTTTCTGCGTCTCCCAGACTCCACGGTCAAGCATGGTCGCCATGGCCAGCAATCCACCCACGGCAGCACAACTGCCAACCAAGAAACCTCCGAACGTTTTATTTCGGACCTGTCTGTTGATCACCTTGATCGGGCTGATATCGTATGAAAAGAAGACTCCTGGGATACCTCCCCTACTATGCACGTGATGAGGCTCATTGGGGTCCAGCCCGCCTGCCAACGACCGTTCGTGACCAGTAACAGAGTACTGATTTGTCTCAATTGCCTCCTTGCCTGACAGGAACTCCCAACGTGTAGCGACGGTCTTGATGAAGTAGACGTAGTTGTAGAAGGCTGTACGTGCCGTTAGCAGAAGTCTCAACGTCTAAACCATAACACATACAGTCAGTTGTACTCTTAGAGGTGCCTTCCAGAGGACCCGAGTACCCGTCCGCGCGATCACCAAATCGCATCTCATTGATCGTATGAGAAAAGTCCCACTGCTTCTCCCGTGCACTCTTGCCAAACTCGTTCAGGTCATGGACGTGCTGTCCACCTTGTCCGGAGAATGACTTCCCGGGTGCGAAGTGGAAGTTGCCCTGAACCTTATTAACGTGGATCGATCCAGCGATCGTGCAGCCTTCGTTCACTTGTTGTCCTAGCTTGTCCTTGTAGTGTTCTTTTTCGCACTGCTCGAAGGCGTTGAGGTCGCCTATGGCCCATCCACTTCGTGCGTATGCGTCACGGACGTCTTCACAGGTGTTGCAGCAGCCAGACTCGGGCGGAGTTGCGCCGTAACAAGGACCGCAGTAGTCATCTGCTTGCAGTGGTGCCGCTTCGGAGTTGAGCGATGCCGTCTCAATGGCGACGACCTTGCCATCACGAGTTTCCCGGCGCTTCTTCATCTCATGCTTCAAGTCGATCTGTGTCTCACCTGACACGTCCATGACATCCTGTAGGTGAACAATCAGCATGAGACTGGCATGTACGACAGCTTCCCCTTACCAAGCTAAGCATCGAGCACGGGATATGCGCGAACGTCAAGTTCAAGTGAATTGTCATCCGCTCTCCACGGGTCTTGTCCACGACCAACTCCGTCGTCTCCGTTATCCGCCGCCAGTCGAGGAACTCGCTCGTTATCAGGATTGAGATCAATGCGAAACATATCAGGGTGACGAGACCACCGGATGTTGTGCGGATTCGGGCATCTTCAGCGACCTAAGAACAGCGTGAGTATGCCAGTTTCGAGATCAATTGAAGCCTCATACCTTCGCAAAGGCGTCTAATCTCCTAAAGGAGGTGCCTTTACCCATGATGGCGGTGTCGAATGGTGGAAGCTGGCAGAATTGCTCGCCGGGTGTTCGCTCGGCCCAACTATCTCGGCCCATACAACGACCGACGTGTCGGGATGCATGTGCCCTCGGGGTGCAGCCGGAGAGCTGTCGAGAGACAATGTATACCTAGGTACATGGGTGGGATGAAGAAAGGCTCAAATAAAATCCAAATCAGAATGAACATCCTTTTGACTTTTTGTAACCCTTCCAAGTGCGGTCGGTGCATTTGCCCTGCGAGCCGCTGTATCAGGACGTACGTGCGGAGTACGGCTTAAGGCGACATAACAGACGGCAAGGCCAGCATTCAGCTCGATCCTATTTCCACGGTTTTAACATCTACTGCACCGGGACGTCCAGATGGCTGACGAGTTCGAGACGATCCGTCGCTTGCAGCAGGAGCGCAATGTCGTGAACGCCGGTCCCAAGAAGGAGGATGGTCAGCGTACGGAGACGAGCAAGGTGTCTCTCAGTTCCGCTGGAGAGGTTTACGACACGGATATCTACAACTCGTCGAAGAGCAAGTTCGAGGGGTACGATACCTCAATTGGTGTCGGTGGAGACGATGATATGGATTTGGACGGTGGTGAAGACAATACCAGACGGCTTGTTGGGCAGTACACAGCGCCAAAGGCTTTTCTGAACGAGTACGTGGAAGAGGATGCGCCAGATCTCATTACTGCGCGCCAGGAGGGCAAGCAGATCCAGGACAGACAAGGCGACTACCAGAACCGTCGCTTCGACCGCGAGCTGTCGCCAACCCGTCAAGACGCCTTCACGGGCAATGGAGAGGAAGGGAGAAGTTATGCGGAAGTGATGAAGCAAGCTGAACTGGAACGTGAGGAGCAGCGTGTGTTGAGAGAGATCGAGCGCAGACGGCAGGAGGGCACACTGGAGGATCATGTGGGGCGACCGGTGCACAGCGAGGCGAACTTGAAGGAGGAGGCGTCAGAGGAGAAACCTGCGAAGAAGAGGAGATGGGATGTCGGGGGTCCGACCGAGTCAGCGGAGGAGCCGAAGAAGTCATCCTGGGCCGATGTGGATGAGACGCCTCGTACCACAAAGCGTTCCAGATGGGACCAGACGCCGGCACCTATGGGTATTGTACCAAGTGCCATTGGCAGTGAAACCCCCGTTGGCAAACGCTCACGATGGGACCAGACACCTGCTCCTGGACAGACTCTCGGAGCTACTCCTGCCGGTGCAGGTGCCGCCCAGACTCCCTTCGGTGCCCTTGTCGCTCAAAGTGCGATTTCTGACGAGGATTTGGATGAGATGCTGCCCAAGGAAGGCTACAGAATTTTGGAGCCGCCACCGGGTTACATGCCTATCCGGACACCTGTTCGTAAGCTCATGGCGACACCGGCTGGTCCCGGTGGTTTTGTGATGCAGGAGGTTGATCCTACGGCTGGTATGCAACAAGCAAAAGCCCTGCCTACTGAGATCCCTGGTGTTGGTGATTTGGCATTCTTCAAGCAGGAGGATATGAAGTACTTTGGGAAGCTCATGGATTCGAGGGAGGAGGGCGATATGTCTATGGAGGAGCTGAAGGAGAGGAAGATTATGCGGCTTTTGCTCAAGGTGAAGAACGGAACGCCGCCGATGAGGAAGACTGCTCTTAGGCAGTTGACTGATAAGGCGCGTGAGTTTGGTGCAGCGGCGTTGTTTAACCAGATTCTGCCGTTGCTCATGGAGCGCACTCTTGAGGACCAGGAGCGTCATTTGCTCGTGAAGGTCATTGACCGTATTCTCTACAAGCTCGATGATCTTGTTCGTCCTTTTACGCATAAGATTCTTGTCGTTATCGAGCCGCTTCTCATCGATGAGGACTACTATGCACGTGTTGAGGGGCGTGAGATTATCAGTAACCTTGCCAAGGCAGCTGGTCTTGCTCACATGATCTCCACCATGCGACCTGATATTGATCACGTCGATGAGTATGTCCGTAATACCACCGCGCGTGCTTTCGCTGTCGTGGCCTCTGCTCTTGGTATCCCGGCGCTCTTGCCTTTCCTTCGTGCTGTCTGCAGAAGTAAGAAATCATGGCAAGCTCGCCACACCGGTGTCAAGATCGTGCAGCAAATCGCTATTCTCATGGGTTGCGCTATCTTGCCTCACCTCAAGAATCTTGTGGATTGTATCGCAAATGGTCTGGAAGATGAGCAACAGAAGGTCCGTACCATCACTGCTCTCGCAACTGCTGCTCTTGCTGAGGCTGCTGCGCCATATGGTATCGAGTCCTTTGATTCAGTCTTGAAGCCTCTCTGGACTGGTATTCGCAAGCACCGCGGAAAGGGTCTTGCAGCTTTCTTGAAGGCTATTGGATACATCATTCCGCTCATGGATGCTGAATATGCCAATTACTACACTAAGGAGGTTATGATTATCTTGATTCGCGAGTTCCAGTCTCCTGATGAAGAGATGAGGAAGATCGTGCTGAAGGTGGTGCAGCAGTGCTCTGCCACTGAGGGTGTTTCACCAGGGTACCTGAAGGAAGAGGTCTTGCCAGATTTTTTCCGGAACTTCTGGACTAGGAGGATGGCTGCTGATAAGCGAATGGCTTCTCAGGTTATCGAAACCACCGTAGAACTCGCACAGAAAGTCGGTGCCGCGGAGGTTGTTGAGCGCGTAGTGGATCACCTCAAAGATGAGAACGAGATGTTCCGTAAAATGGTTGTCGAAACCATTGAGAAGGTCATCGCTGGTCTTGGTGCTGCCGACGTCAGCGAGAAGCTCGAGGAGAGATTGATTGATGGTGTTCTCTATGCTTTCCAGGAGCAAACTACCGAAGGCGACAACATCATGTTGAACGGCTTTGGAACCGTTGTCAATGCTCTTGGCACTCGTTGCAAGTCCTACCTTCCTCAGATTGTATCTACTATCCTTTGGCGTTTGAACAACAAATCTGCCAAGGTCCGTCAGCAGTCCGCAGACTTGATTTCTCGCATTGCGGTCGTCATGAAGCAGTGCGGTGAGGAGGCCCTCATGGGAAAGCTCGGAGTTGTTCTGTACGAGTACCTTGGAGAGGAGTACCCCGAGGTCCTCGGATCAATCCTTGGAGCTTTGAAGTCCATTGTCAACGTCGTCGGTATGACCTCCATGACTCCTCCAATTAAGGACTTGTTGCCTCGACTTACACCCATTCTTCGTAACCGTCACGAGAAGGTGCAGGAGAACACTATCGACCTTGTGGGACGTATCGCTGATCGTGGCTCTGAGTTCGTCAGTGCACGTGAGTGGATGCGTATCTGTTTCGAGTTGTTGGATATGTTGAAGGCGCACAAGAAGGGTATTCGTCGTGCTGCTGTCAACACCTTCGGTTACATTGCCAAGGCGATCGGACCTCAGGATGTGTTGGCTACGTTGTTGAATAACTTGAAGGTGCAGGAGCGTCAGAACCGTGTTTGTACCACCGTTGCCATCGCGATTGTCGCGGAAACTTGTGCCCCCTTCACTGTCTTGCCCGCATTGATGAACGAGTACCGTGTTCCTGAGCTCAACGTTCAGAACGGTGTATTGAAGTCTCTGTCTTTCCTGTTCGAGTACATTGGAGAGTTGGCGAAGGACTACGTCTACGCTGTGACGCCCTTGTTGGAGGATGCGCTTACCGACCGTGACCAAGTGCACCGTCAGACTGCTGCTACTACCATCAAGCACATGGCTTTGGGATGTGTTGGTCTTGGCGTTGAGGATGCCATGCTTCATCTTCTCAACCTGCTCTGGCCTAACATTCTGGAGACGTCTCCTCACGTCATCAATGCAGTAACGGATGCCATCGATGCTATCCGTACTTGCATTGGGCCTGGTGTTATGCTCATGTACCTTCTCCAGGGTCTTTTCCATCCAGCCAGGAAAGTCCGTGAGGTGTACTGGAAGCTCTGGAATAATGCCTACGTTCAGCAAGCTGACGCGATGATTCCCTACTTCCCGAATGTTGAGGATGAGGAACGCCCTGCCGCGCAGTTTGGGCAAACAGTCAAGAACACTTACCAGAGGCACGAGCTTATGATTATGTTGTAAGGGGATAGGAAGATGAGACATGCCATCGTTTATAAGGAGTGGGTTTTATACTACGTTAGGTTACCACCCATAATGCAGTTTTTTGGATAGCCAAAAGTATATCTTTGGTGCCAATATGCTAAACAAACCTCGGAATCTTTCGTAATATCTCCACTAAAATACCTCATCTGCATTCTCGCAGTTCTCCGTAGCATGATCATATTTCTCGCAATTCTCACACCACGGTACCCCCTCCTCGTTGACCATCGGCTGCGCGTCTCCTGAGAAGACAGCAGCACAGTCCAACGCATCATGCCCACCACCGCAAATCTCACATTTTATCTGGTTTTGCGCTTCCTCGCCATATGCACCCTCATCAATTCCATCATATGCACCCTCGCGTCCTTCGACCATCGCCCGTAACCTCTCGTTCTCTGCTATAACATCTTCTTGCTGCATGACGGCGTCCTCGGCCATTTGCGTCAACTCGTCGATGTGCTGATGCAACTGTTCCCGCTGAGCCCTTTCCTGTGCCAACTCTTCACGTAGCTTCTCGAATTCGACGACACCCTCGGTAGTCTTTTCGGTTTGCTGTTGTTCACGTTGTTGATATTCCTCGATTTGGGCCTGGAGTTGCGCTGCGAGCTTTTCGGCAGCCTCGGTCTTTGATGCGAGCTCCGTGACTGTTTCGCGGAGTGACGAAAGTTCTTGCTCGATTTCCGCATTTGCGGGAGCTTCATCTGCCTTTGGTTCTCCACCTGAACTTGCCTTGGCGGCTTCCAATTCCTCCTTGAGACGAGCGACTTCATCCTCAAGGAATGCCACAGCCTGGCGTTTCTGCGGGTGATCATCCGTAAGGTCATCCAACGAGTTCTTCCGGCCAGGCGCTTCAAGTTCACCTGGAGCACCTGTACGCTCCGCACCGGCAGCTCGCAGAGCACGGATCTCATCCTCCATCTCAGAAATATGATGCTGCGCAGATTCGAGCACCGCCTTCAACGCAGCGACCTGTCCTTCTGCTTCCGTTGCCCTATTCCTCCAGATCTCGATTTGCTCAGTGGCTTCGTTTAGACCGGTTTCGAGCTCCCTCGTCATCTCCTCCAAACTCCTCAAATCCTCCATGACGTCTGCCTGTGCTGAGTCCTCGACTGCCATACGAGATTCTTCGTAGAGCCGTTCGAGTTCGTGAATGCGCGCCACGTAGTTCTGTATTTGCTCGTCTGGCGATTGGTGCAGGAGCTCCGACAATTTCGCAATTTCAGCTTCGTACACGCGCGTTGTTTCGTCTGATGATTGGTTGAGAGCATCAATCGTCGTTCTGAAATCTTGCCGAAGCGTTTCGCGCTCTCGCGATAGTCTCTCCAATCTTTCTTCGCGCTCCCGAAGCTGCCTTCTCAACTCATCAAGCTCAGCGGAACGCTCAGCACCAGTACTGGTAGGCTGAGCCTGCGATACGATAAAGCCTTGTAGCTCGGTAAACTCATTTGCCATACGGGATAGTTCCTCTGTTCGGGCGTCCCGTTCGATCTTCAACTGCTTCACTTCAGCAGCTTTCTCTTGTAGAAGTGCTTCCAACTGAGCCAGCTGTCCCTCAAATTCCTTCGCAGTCGTCATTTGTTCCTTGAGATTAGCAATCTCGCGTTTAAGTGCTGCCACATTTTCAACACCAGAAGGTGCCTTGGCTGTTGGAGCAGGTGATCTCACGGCAGTAGGTGTTCTCGCCATGGGCTTCTTCGGTCCGGTCGCCGGACTACTCACACCCAGGGCCTTTCTTGTCACTGACGTACTTGCAGTTGTAGTTGACGACGACGACGACAATGCCGACTTGGTCCGCAGAGGTCCTCGCGAAGGCGTCGTTGCCTCAGCAGATAACGAAGCCATCTTCGGCGGCACTCTCGTCACCTTCTTCGTAAAAATCCCCATTCCCGGTTTCGTCTTAAAATACACTTTCCCAGCAACATCACCCGAGTTCTTCCCCTTGAATCCCTCCAATGCCTCCACACCCACGAACATACCCGGCTTCCCGTCCACTTCTCCAATCCATCGGATGACTCCACGGACTGGGCCTTCGTCACCCATGACTTCGACGGTTTCGCCGATGCTGATATCGTCTAGGGAGGTTCCTGCTGACGGGGTTCCGGGTGCGAGTTTTCGCGGAGACGCGGCGCGGGAAGGAGAGCGTGCTCCGCCTGGACTTGCGATGCGGGATGGTGATGCGGCGCCGTTGAATGCTAGGCGGGACGTGGGATTTGTGTTGAGTTTGCTGAGGGTTTGCGTTCGTGCTGTGGAAGAGGGTGATGCAATGCCCGAGGGAAGGAGAGATTGGCGGGAGCGTGGAGGCAGCGTGCGTGTTGGCGTATTCATTGTGACCGTTCTGAATGCTGCGGAACGAAACGGTCAATGGCTCCGACGATGGATGGTACGAGAACGGACGGTCTATGGGTATCGGGGGTGTATGCTGATTTATTTACGAGCCAGGCGGAGTCCGAACACCTGCAGCGCCGTACTGTACATGGCGGCCCAAACTCTAAACAGCTGCAGTGTGCGAACGTCAACTGGGAGATGGACAAAGTCAAGTACTCAAACTGGTCTGCAATTGGTATAAAGACATATCTCTACTTTTAACGTACAATAACGTACAAATTATCCTTTCCTTCCATGATCAGCACACGCTTAGAAGCCGACCTCCTTGTTGGCAAGGGAGTCGAACTCGGTCATACGAAGGTAAGGCCTGATGACCTTGAGGTTGGGGTACTGGGACTTGGCGTCCTCAGTGGAGACGGAGGGGTGGACAATGACGTCGTCACCACGCTGGATCGGATGTTAGTTATCTTAGACAAGAGGAGATCAGAGGAAGATAGTACGAACCTGCCAGTTGATGGGGGTGGTGATCTTGTTCTTGTCACCGAGCTGGAGAGAGTCAACGCAACGGAGGATCTCAGCAGAGTTGCGGCCAGTGGAGGCGGGGTACTGGAGGATGACACGGATGGTCTTCTTGGGGTCAATGATGAAGACAGAACGGATGGTGAAGGCAATGTTCTTCTCGTCGACGTTGGTGGGGTCCTGGTAGTCAACCATGTCGTAGAGGTGAGCGACCTGGCGCTGGGCATCGGCGATGATGGGGAAGTTCAAGGAGGTGTTTCCGACCTCATTGATGTCCTTGATCCAGCCCTCGTGGGACTCGAGGCCGTTGGCGGACAAACCGATGAGCTTGACACCGCGCTTGGAGAACTCGGGCTCGAGGCGAGCCATCTCACCCAGCTCGGTGGTGCAGACGGGGGTGTAGTCAGCAGGGTGGGAGAAGAGGATGACCCACTTGTCGCCGATGAACTCGTGGAAGGAGATGGGGCCTTTGGTGGTGTCGGCCTGGAAGTCAGGAGCGACGGAACCGAGACGGAGACGGGGAGCTTCAGCAGCCATTATGATTTTTGGTTGTGAGAGTGTGTGTGGGTTTACGAGAACAGGAAGATCAAGGGTCCTTATATGGGGCGGTGCGACGCGGGACATCTTGGAGCGCAGTAGCCCGATGTCGCAATCGCGAACGCAACATCCCCCCGGTTCAAACTGCCTGAGATGCTCGTTGTTGTATTCTCTAGCACAATTGGAAACCGATCCAGGCTTCCGAAGGGCGGCTGATCATACTCTTCATTTTCCGTGACGCGTGATCTGTAGACGCGGCTGCAGCGCCGGCAGCCTCGAGACCATCTCGACTTCCAAAGTAACGACGACAACGACCCCCCCCCC